TTGTCCTCTACCAACTCATCCTAACTATGTCCACCCTCTTCCTCAGGATGATTTGGCTGATAGCGCTCCTGATTCTCGGCTTGGTAGCTGCTCCAGCTAGCCCTGAGATCATAGAGCCAGGACCGGACTCTGGAATTGTGTTAAGGGATCAGCCTGGACTCCTGATAACAGACTGTCGCCTGCACACACAGAAGGTGTTTGTCAGGCTCAACCCTAAGGAAGTCCTCAAGAAAAATGTTCCGGTAACAGCTCAACTGACCAGTTGGGCCGGGACACATTGGAGCAGACAGGTCGTAAATCATGCCGAGTTGGACATTACTTACATGTTAGAGCAACTTCAGAAATTCACTGTCTCTCAAACAGAGTTAAGTGGTACCAACAGGAGGTCCAAGCGTTTTATCGGAGCATTGCTCACCGCAGCCTCGGTTGTTGGCTCTCTTTTTGGTGTTGGGCTCTCCTCTGTTAATGCAATTAGCTTAGCTGCCGTCAAACGCCATGTGGGTGAGCTAGAAGCCGAAATCCCAGACATCAGGGCTCAGATAAACAGACAGCAGACACAACTGCAGACTATTGGTCAAACAGTCAAGGGCACCGTTCTGGTGGTTAACACCCACACAGAAGTCCTGAATAAGACGCTGCGTGCTGTAAATTCTTTGTTGTCGGTGGTCCAGGTCGACTATGCTCACACAATGCTATTGAATATGCTCATGTCAGACATGTTGCAAGAAATATCATCCTCAATAGACAGTTTGGCTGCAGGCCGGATTCCTCCGTACTTGGTACCTCTCTCATTGGTTCAGGATTTACTATCAACTGCAACCAGAGAGGCCACCACTCCTTTACAAGCCCACCTCGCGTATACCCTAGGTAGCGCTGTGCCGATCTACGTTAATCCCGAAGATCGAGAAATTGCTTTCCTTATTAACTTGCCAATTATAGCATCAGGAAGCATCTATAGGCTAAAGGATGTAGTCAATGTCGGGTTTTGGAAAGAGGACGCACACCTCCAAATTCAGACCCCACCAGTGGTCGCTTACCACGACAGCAATCCTGACCTATATCTAGCTCCTAACCTGCGTATGTGCACACGAACCAAAGACATACACTACCTCTGCCCCAGTAAACCATTTGTGTGGGACAGTACTAATGGCCTCTGCGGCCTTACGCCCATGGTGGCCGACACCAAATGCCCTACTACAGCAAGACACCGCTCACAAGTGACTGTAACGCAGGCCGAAAGAGTGGGTCACCGTTGGTTAGTTAACACCCCCACCAAGACTGCCATTGTAAATTACGACCAGCACGATACTGCCACACGCATTTCTCTACTGGATCAGACCATGTGGATTGAGGTGCCACCAAATGCCATTCTCCATATAGATGACATTGCCCTCTTTTACCTCAACCCTGAGCAATTCGAAACAGAGATTGAAGTGCCAGCGTTTTTCAGCAAGCATACGCTGCAGTTAGATCCAAACACTATTTCTCAAATCCAGTATGCAGGTACTCAGATCATTGACCTAACGCCTGTAGATGACGTCCTTATAGACATAAGGTCCCAAGAGAAGTCCCCGCTGCAACCAATAGTCTATGTTTGGTCCACCCCAGACACCTTACTAGCAGCCGCCATAGTGTTAGGGTACCTCCTGACCTTCGGGTTAACCTTCATCTACGTTAAACGTGGTAAAGCCCTACAGTACAAAATAGACCACTGTGTCACTAGGTTACGACTCCGTAGACAACCTGAAACGGAACAGGAAGTTGAACAGCCAGAGGAAGACAAGGTGAGCCACATGCTCGAGGTGTAGTCAGCTTCCTGTAACCCCGCACCCATAGATGTAGTAGGCTTAACACACACAGTAGATCTAACGAAGTAGATAGTTCTGAACGAGACGCATCACCCTCCTTGGACTAACTGCTGCTTCCACCTGGTCGTCTCATCTCGTCGTCCCAATGGCTCCTGGAGCTGCCATCGAGACGAAGGGGGGATATGTAATGAGACAACTGCTTTCTGCTATCCACCTTGAATTCACCCCTCAAAGGAATGCAGGCTCCTCTGGTTTGGACAGGAAATGGGGGAGTAACGGTTTGCACACCAAGTTCCCATTTACGACCCAGGCAACCATTTGGGAGGTGATAGTGAATCTTTAACGCTTCCCAAAAAGGACAAGTTGCTTATCAACCACACAGACCCATAAACACGGAGTCTCTCACCCTGGTTGGGAAAGATCAGAATTGACACTTCAGGATTAACCCAATGACCTGGGGGGGAAAACAGGCCAGTTGGCGCCAAATCTGAAAAACCAGATGCCTGCCATAAATTCCTTGGCTTTCTTTACAGAGCAGAAGGAAGAAGATGCCTGAAAATGGTTTAACTTCATGTTTAATGGACACTTCACCAGGATTTTCTGTCTGTACACCACATTCTTAATGAAATGGTCTTTTTTCCAATTCTGTAACATATCCACAAGCCAAACTGTTAACTTCACAAATTTATTCCAGGTTTTCCATGGACCAAGAGTTCCTCCTAGTGGTGATGCCTGAATATGGTTTGATCAGAGCCAAATGGCAGGAATCTAATCACGTGTATTTCTTTCCTTTTGTTATACACTTCGTAGCTTAGTAAATGGTATTCCCAAGATAGGCTAGTAGTTTAGAAGTAGTAACGTGAAACTCGTTTAGACTCAAGTTAAGAGTTTCGGAATGTATCCATACTATGTTTTATCTACCTCACACAAAAATATATATTAATCATCTGGGAAGCTTGATTGACAAGGTTATAATGTTGTCAAATATTATTACGTATGTGTTTCTTATGCTGGATGGTGTTTCTGTTCGAATAGATAATTTGTTTTCTGTCCCTCTCTAACTTTTAAAAGTCATTAATCCTCTGTTAGTGTCAAGAAGACGGCTGATCAAAGTTTACTGTTTGCAATGTCATGCTTTAATGCGTCTGCTCATAAGAAACAATGAAGTGAAATGTGATCGTATGTGATGTTATAAACAGTTTAATCATAGTGAGTGAGTAAATTAGATCTAGCTCGCTTTTAATATCAAGTTGAGTTAAATTCGCTGCCAGTCGATGTGCTGCATCGGGTTACAGCATTGGCTGTAACTTTCCTCTTGGCTCACGCCCACACGGGATGGTTTAAAAGAGCCCGGGAGTCTTTGCTCGGTCTTCAGTTTTTCTTCAAGTTTTGTCTTCTCTTCAGTTTTTGTCTCTTCCGTTTTTGTCTTCGTCTAGTTTTCTTTTGTCTTCGCCTATCGTTCGCAATTTTCCCCGCGTTTTATTAATTGCCTTAAGCTCAGATTTTATTCTAAACTTGGATGAAAGCATTCCCAAGTCCTTTAGAGCCTCAGTAACAAGCTGCGCGCATAAGAGAACCTCAGTCTAAGTCTTTTATTTTTGTTCGCTAAAGTGACTCCTGAAGATAATATCGGCTGGCCAGCGAAATTATTTTCTTAAGTTATTGGCGCGAATTAATCTGCAACCAAGCAAGTCCTGAACGCCGACCAGCATCATCTGCCAAGCTGCTTTGCCACCTGGTTCCGAGAGGCCCAGAGATCCGAAGTATCTAACGGCGCTGACACGGTCCTGAAGCTGAGATCCAGACACGGCGGAAGAATTCCCCGCCGAACCTTCAGTATCCGGTCCGGTAGCCACAGAACTTCAGCTGATCCATTCCAAGGGTGCCGCTGAGAACCGACGTCCAAAGTAGGCTAAATCCTCTGAAACTGCTGTGATGAGAACTGGGTGATGCCGTCAACCGTTCAGTAGCTTACTCTTATAAATTATAGTTTAGTTCTCCAAATTCCTTTTATTTACCCTCGTAACTCCGTTAACGTAGGTTAAATTTCCCCTTTATTCACTCACTATTATTAACCTCCAGTCTTAGGTTTAATTTAAACCATTCCTTCGTTTATTCATTAGATGTGCTTTGATTTGCTCATTATTTGATCATCATTTATTGACGTTTTGTTATCATATAGCTTGTTAATAAATTGTCCATTTAATTCTAAGTTGTCGTCTTAGTGGTCTTTCAGAAAGTAGTCCCTGAATGAAGAATTCCGGCCTCAGATGAGAGACTGATTTAAATCTGTGTAAGACTGATCCAACGTTTAATTACTCAATTGAACTTTGTTTCGTCCTTTTTCCCACCAGAAAGGTGGGTGGTGCCCCTTCAACGAGTGCATAAATGTCATAATTTAATTTGATTAATTTTCGACATTTATTTTGAATTTAAAATCGCTACATAACCCTCCACGAGTCTGCAAGAAAAGTCTGTTAAACCTCAAACATGTGTTGTCTCTTAACTCTGACTCATTTGAAAGCAAAGTTGCTCACTTACTGAAAAAAAGGCAACTGCTTTTCTCTTCAAGACAAAGGTCAGCGAATGAATGGGTGAATAAATGTGATAAGCCTTTTGTATTGGGTTTTTACACTCTTTTTATTAACTGTATATTTCAGTTGCACTATTCACAAAAGGATTCTACATATAACTTTGAGTGTAGTGTGCAAAAAGCAGAGCAGAGCAAAGCCTGCAAAAACTGTCTGTGTTTGTAGCTGCAGCCTGATGAAGCTCTGATCATAATGACGTCTCCCTCAGCTCACGGTGTTCTATTTGTTTTCTCAACAGCCTTCGACAAACAAAGACCTGAATACGAATACACACACGCGCGCACACACTCCTCCAGCTGCCCACGCTTCATCTTTAATCGTCTCTTAAGTGTCGCTCCTGATTATGAAGAACCAATTAACAATCAATTAGCCAGCTGGCCAATCAGACTGCTGGCCGTTGCCATGAGGGTTGATTCATAACCAGGAGAGCTGCTCTGTGGACAACATAGATGCAGACAGACTGTAACACTAACACACATTAACTCACTCTGATGATCTGCTGTGCACGACTATAAAAGGATTTACTTTTAGTCCTGAAGGAACAAACTGATGTATCAGATGTACAACCTCTCTTCCAAAATAGTCAGGAAGCTGCAAATCAGAAATTCTGTAAAACATTTAATTTGATTGAAAATGGGGCAAAGACAAATGTTAAGGCTTTTAACAATGACTTTATTAACAGGAGAAAAAGTGACAATGTGAACTGTTTAACACATGGTTAAAAGAACGACTTGAACACTGAGTTTCATAAATACTATCTGTCACTGAACTTTATGGCCTCAAACTTGAATCAAACCTCAGATACATCAAATACAACAGAGGTTTAGCAACTACAGCAGAATGAACAGAAAACAGGTTCAGATTAAACTGGATGAGATTCATCTGTGCAGCTGCAGGGTCGAAATTTAATCAATAATAGAGATAAATATGAAGTATCTATTACTACAAACACCCTTCAAATTCAGCCTCTCAGTTTGAGAACCCCTCGACCTGTGGTATAAACCTTTATTGTGGATCATTAAACATTTGCACACAGCTCATTTGCATGTTCATGGATTGACTGTAAAACAAAAGATCTACCGCATCTGCAGTGTTCCTGATCTATCTGATGGACTGGTGGATGACGCTGTTGGTGGGTTTAGTCATCCTCTCTTTGGCCTTCTTCTTCACAGGATCCACCTCAAAGCTCTTCCACAGGCGAATTGTCTCATCTCCGGCGACAGTTGCGATCGTAGAGCAGTCGGGGCTCATAGTCAGACTCAGGACTCTGTCCTCATGACCTGAAATTAAAAAAGCACCATGTTCAGACTCATCTATTTCCAGTTTAGAGCATGTTTGATTCAAATTGTGTCGTGTGTGAACAAAGAAAGAGGGTTTACCGTTGAGCTCAGCGACTTTGGTGAGAGACGGATATTTCCAGATGACCACGTTGTTGTGAGCGTAGCCGTGAGCAGAAACCAGCTCTTTGTAGTTTGGAGCAAAAATCAGCGATGAGATCTAAAAACCAGAGGCACCGTGCTGGATTAACAGTAAGTCCATATTGTAAACTAAGGGAGGGAATTAGTCAGTGCAGAATCTATTAAGTCCTGGCCTGTATAGTCATTTCTTTAATAAGATGTTTCCTAAAAGATTTATAGTTTTTCATTCACTTTTGTTGAAAACTTGCTGAGCACATCTAAACTGCAAGCAGAGATGTCAGTGACGTATTAAAGTATTTGATGGTCTAGATAAGGAAACATTAAACTAGAATAGTTACACAGCAGAAAGGCAGTCAGTAGAGACTGAGGCTGCAATGCATTCTGGTATATGTAGGCACTGCTGTGGCTCCACTCCACAGAAAACTCTGCATTCTTTGTCAGTGAGAAATTTTTGTAATGCGTCATCTTGTGTCATTGCCACTGAGCGTCTGCAGCTGTTTGCAAACTGACAGAAACCCAAAGTTGGACCGAGGTTTCTCATGATCAGGCAATCTTAACATAACAACTCATTATTTTGGGCTGTCGTCCAAACAGATGTAAAAGTGTGTGTCCACCTGTGACTGAGTGTCCAGTGAGCTGATGCAGGAGCCGCTGTTCACGTTCCAGATGCGGATGTGACGGTCGCTGGTCCCGCCTCCTGTGGCCAGGATGTTTGGTTGCCAGGGACACCAGGCTAAAGCCTCCAGTCATAAAACATTAAAAATTACTTTCAAATTCAGAACAGTTGATAACAAAGACTCTTTAAACCTTATCCTGGAGGACAGTGGTAGGTGTGACTGACCTTGACAGCCCCTTGGTGTTCGCTCCAGCAGCGCACTGGCTGGTTGGCGTTCCCGCCCTCCTGCGCACGCGGCCACACACAAACCAGGTTGTCGTTTCCTCCACTAGCTAGGAACCGGCCGTCAGGTGACCACTTCAACCCGCACACCTCCTGAGAGTGACCTGTGAGCGTGCAGATGTGATGCTCCGCCACCCTCACGTCATGGTGGTGGATGTGTCCAGATCTTGAGCCGCTGTGGGCGGGACAAACTACATTAGACTCAAAGAAAGATTGTTTTTAGGCGCTTTGGGATCAGGTAAAAAGGAGGCAGGTGTACCTGGAGAGGACATGCTCGTTCCAGGTCAGACTTCCGACCCGAGAGGTGTGGCTGGCCATGCTGCGTAAACGTTTCTGGTTGTCAACGTCCCACAACTTCAGAAAAAGATTTGAACCATGAAACAAATATCAGCTGCAAAGACTGGATATCAGCTGTCTTCTGTATGCAAGTTAACTTCTTGAATCATACGAGATTTCTAAAAGACTTTCTTTTATTTAAAACAGAGTTGAGGATCATAACAAGTTAATCCAGACCTTTACAAACAGTCTGACTGTGTGAACTTATCATCCTACTAACCTGAACTTTACAGTCGCTGGTCCCAATAGCGAGATAGCTTCCTTCTTTGGTCCAGGACAGCGAGCAGACGTAGTCCTCCTCGCTGTCCAGCTTCATGAGCAGAGTGATGTCTCCCTGCGAGGCGTTCCACAGGTAGACGCTGTTATGAAGAGCCACAGCTAGAACGTTTCTGCTGCTCCAGTCAAACAGATTCAGATCTGCATCAAAAAAGAAGGAAAGTAGCTTGGTCGACGAGCATGTAGCAAGAGGACGAGCAAGATAGGCTGTAAACCTGGCATACTGGAACTCCAAAAAAAAGACATAAGCAAAAAACTCAGTGTCTTTATTATCACACTTTTAGAGGTAAACTTACAGAAATCGTTTCGAAGCTCAGGAGCATCCAGGATTCTGTCTGGTGTTGAGGAGATGTATCTCGTCTTTTTGACAGACGCAGGAGTTGTACCCTGACTGTAAAGCACCTTCAGGTTGTTCTGATAGCCTGAAAATTTGATTAGAAAATAACAATTAATAACGAAACCCCCAATTTCTACTTGTATGCAAGCTGAGCGGGCAGACTTCCTGACCTTCAGGAGCATTCAGCGGCTTCCCTCCAAGGTGCAGGATCTTTGCATCCTCCACGTTGAATCCGTTCAGTGACATAGACCAGGCTTTCTGGTTTTCCTAGGGGAAAAAATAATCTTATAATTAAAAATGTCAATTTGCAAAAGCACAATAATGAAATACATAAAAACAATGGGACAATCTCCATGAAATAAAACAATAGATGCAAATTTTAAACTCTTGTGAGAAACTACTTTGTTTTGATTTCTCCACATGAAGGATTTGTTTTTCAAGAACAACTACAAAAAATCATGTAATCTTGATTAGTTGTCCCCATCAAATTAGGAAAAGTCATGAAATATGAAGCAAAAAAACAAAAGTCAACCATTATTTTTCAAATGATAAACATTGAATGGGGTCAAAGTGACCCCAAGCACAATAGGAGGGTTAATATTTTTGAAGTAACTACCATAAAATCAAGATTATAAGTGGTACAAACTTAGAAAATTCTTTCAGATTACAAAAATATGTTAAAAATGTTGTTTTTCAGTTAATTTTATAGAATAGGAATAGTTTACTCAGTTGCGGTGGTCCAAACATGCTGCTGTAGTACATTAACTTACAGCTGTTCCTGTTGTGTTGCTGGTTTCCATTGGCTCATTCTCCTTAGAAAGCAGGAAACTTGCCACATCCATCTGTTTGCTGTTTCTGGTGGGAATGAAGCGATCGCCCCCCATCTTTGAGGGGGTTTGTTTTTTGTTTTTTCCTGTTGAAAAAACACAAAAGTTTATCCAAAACTGTACTTAACAAACCAGAAAGTAAAGCACAAAGCAGTTATTAAATAGAAACGTGAACACTCAGTGGACCTGGTGTTTTGTTGGGAGTTTTTGAAGAGCTGATGGAGGTGTTGCCGGATTTCGAAGGTGATAACCCGCTGAGGACGGAGGTGTTGTTGGAGGCGATGGCCTTCCTCTGCCACCTCGCCATCGGAGCGTCTGTAATCGGCTTGTCCAGCCTCAGGATGCTGTGGATGTCGTTCTCAAAGCCAAAATGCGCCATCTTAACCAGGTTTGCACACCACCTGTAGACCAAGATCATCTGAATTCAATACCTTACAGAGCAAACATTACCCTTAAGCTGAGTTATGTTGGCAGAGCGATACTAAGTAATGAGAGCTGACGTTAATATCGCTTATGAAGGATATAAACTTTAATTCAAGGGGTTTTTATTTCACTATTTTCACATAATCACTGACCCGTAATGCCTGTGTCGACTAACGAACGAGGCTCAGCCAAAGTTAACCGACAAACTGCGATATATGCATGCAATGAGTCAACTAGAACGACTTATTTCTGACTTCGTATGAAATTTTTCCGCTGTCTTAAGAGAAATGTGACATGTTTCTCAGGAATAAATGTAAAAGCTCTTACCTCGGCGAAAACAGTCGCAGTCTGAAACAGCGTTTTTCTCTCGTCCCTTTACAAAATTCAAATTTCGTTTGGGCGATGACATCACAGCAACAGCCCGAAACGCGGGTCTGTGATTGGTTCGTTTCAAGACGCAGCCGTTAAAACCGAGCCATTGCTATGGTTACAGTTTTCGTACGTTGCTGTGATTGGTGGATTGGAGCCCCGCCTTTCCGCTCTTCTTCTACAACCTCTCAGTGGAGTTTAAACGTGAGCGACAACTAGTGTTAAAGGTGAACTATCGCATGTAAGATGGAGGCCAGGCCGAAGGTACAACTTTTGAAAACCACAAAAACTAATCAACATGACATAGTTTTTATGTTGGTTGAATTCTTTCAACCTTAGAACAATATCGCCGGGTGATTTTTACCCGACCAAATATGTTTACGTGATTTTCATTATGTTGTGTTTGTCTGAGTATTATGGGTCACTGGGTAGCTTCAGCATTGCATTTGAGATCTTTGAAGGCATATTTGTTTCCCCGATCCAAAACCTGCTTGGGTGCATTTGATAACTGCGTTCAGGGAATAAGGTCAGTAAGAGTGGTCCTTGAATATGCATGCTATCTTTTATTTAGTGCAGTGGTTATGAATAACTACCACAAAGTAGTGATTTTCAAGGGAATTCACATGGTGATAAGAACTATTTTAGTCAGCTGGTCATTTTTACTCACTTAAAATATGCCATATTTGTGCCTAGGACCCTGAGTCTTCACCAGGGAAGACTCACATGCCCCAGGAATGGGTGGAAAAGAAACTAAGTTTACACTCTTCAAGCTCGGGTCCTCTACCAGAGGCCTGGGAGCTTGAGGTGTCTGATGTTTCTCCAGGGATCTGTTGGAGCCACTTCTCCAGCGTGGGGGTTACTGATTGCCCCGATGACCACAGGCACCACTGTTGCCTTCACCTTCCAGGCTTTCTCGATCTCCTCTTTGAGCCCTTGGTACTTCTCTAGTTTCTCATGTCCTTTCTTTCTGATGTTGGTATCGCTTGGGATGGCGACATCTACCACAACGGCTTTCCTCTGCTGTCTGCTGTTTGTCTACTATTACAGTGTCTGGTTGGTTGGCCAAATACCATTTTGTCGGTCTGTATCTGGAAGTCCCACAGGATCTCGGTTCGGCCATTCTCCATCACCTTGGGAGGTGCTTCCCATTTTGACCTCGGGGTTTCCAGTCCATATTCTGCACAGATGTTCCTGTACACTACACCGGCTACTTGGTTATGGAGTTCCATGTAGGCTATGCTTTTCCTGCCAGCATCTTACATCCTGCTGTTAGGTGTTGGACTGTTTCAGGGCCCTCTTTGCACAGCCTGCACCTGGGATCTTGCCTGGTATGGTAGATCTGGGCCTCTATTGCTATATTGCAATGTTATAGGAATTTGTTGTTCATGAATGCCTAATTTCAGTTATTTCCGATATTTTTTTATATTGTCCCCTCATGACACTTTTTGTTCCTCCCTTTGGACATTGCACAGTTAAAAATAAAAGAAAACTACTTTAATATGTATTGTCCTATTTTGATATATTTTGATTACAAGTACTTTTTTTGGGGTATATTATTTCAGGTAAAAATCAACCGGCAATAGTGATGGTGTCACTAATTATAGTGATAGTGTTCTAGGGTTAAGACAAATCAATATGACATTGATTTTATGTCGGTTGAATTCTATTAAGAAGCATTATCCCATACTGTCAGGGATACAGTTAGTTCCTGAGCTGGATCTAGTTTTTCAGAAGTAGATTGACTGATTGGATTTCAGTTGTCTGATTGGTAAAGGTCAAAAAATGTTTTGCTCGAAAGGAAAAAAGGACTCCTATAAAAGTTTTAAGAGTAGACTGACCAACAGAGGGAGACATTTAGCCATTTATTCGCCTTTTTTCCCCTTGTCATTCAGAGATTCTTTTTCCTGTGGCATGTCATGTTATTTTCTGTCATGTTCAAACCCCTATGGTTTCTGCAGCAGATCTATGACTTCTGCTTTTACCGGTGTCATAAATGCTGACAAGATACGTCCATGGACAGAGATCATGCATACATAATGCAGAGGATATGATCAAATATTTGAATATTTGATACATTTATAGGCCAGGGTGGTAAAAACAAAAGTGCTCTGATGCTGCTGTGGCCCTTTTAATTTTAGCTCCAGTCCATTTTGGTTCATCTATTTTTAGGTCTGACGTCTGGGACAAATAATGAGGGTCAGATTTGTGTGGAAATTATTCTGAAGAGTGAGAAGGAGAGCAACGAGGAGACAAAAGACGAAGCAGCCTCCCTATCAAACACTTAAATATACTCACTGACTCTTAATTCACTGTTTTACACCATCTAAGATGATCACATTAATCAGCTTAGTTTGTTCTTCACTGGAAAAGAACATTTGTGTCACAACAAAAAAAAAAAAAAAAAACCCAAACTTTCATCATTAGATAGCTGAAATGTTTGCATTGTTAAAACAGTTTTGTCCTTTCTCTCCTTTCCTCAGGTGACTCTCTCCAGCCAATCAAAGCTGCAAGTTGGCCCCGGCGGCAAATTGGGAATAGGTGCAGCATCAGGAGGCGTGTCCTAGGACCTACTGATCACTGCACTGCAAAAAGCACCAAGACCTGGTAAAAACTTCTTCACTAATGTTCACATTTACATGCAACACTACACACGTAAAAGTTAGGAGGACTAGATATTCAACAAACAGCTGGGGTAATAGTTTTCTGTCATGGTGCATGGATCTCTGATTCTGCTTTACAAACTGTTTTCTTGTTTGTGAACACCACAGAGGTGACAGTAAGCAAAAAATGAGCTGTGTGCTGCACCTCACAGCTTCTTCGGTCAAGTAATTAAAGCACACCCCAGGTGGACACAGTCCACGCGGCACTGGTCATAGGATTGATTCCCAATGTCAGCCCAATTTGGTGCATGTCAACCCCTTTCTCTTTCCCCACACTCCCGTCTTCCATGAAGCTGTCCAATTAGAAATCCATCAATCTTCACTAGTTACTTTGTTTTTGAGGGATTGGATCAAGACAGTCTCTGAAAATACTCTGATCTTCTCTGTGAGATTAAAGAAAAAAAAAGTTTCCTATAAAAGCTGTCAGTTTCGCAAAGCGAGTGGTTTTTACAGTAAGTCATAGTGTTTTATTCCTAGAGCTAATACTGTATACACAACAATATTAGGGCGGGTTCGACAGCATTTTGGAGTGATCCTTTCATCTGTTCGCAATAATTACTACCTTAAGGCTGACTGCCTCTCATGATGTGTCACATCACTGTTTTGTAAGGCATGCAGAAGTAAGTGGAAAGCGACGATAAGAGAGCAATTGATGCCGAAGGCTCAAACTAACTGGAACCACTTTTGGACTCTTATCTCTGGTTGTGCATGTGGTGCAAACAGACTAATTTAAAACTAGTTTGCACAGTGTCTGAAGACAAATCGAGCATAAGCGAAATGAAGGCAGTTTGCAGATTTGTTAAACTAGGACCTGCAGCCATGTATTTCATTCACTTTGCTTTTTCTTAGATGACATCCAATTTCCACCTTTTCTCAAAATCTCATTATTTCAGGATATCAAAGTTGATTTTCTTATTTTAGGGGTTAAAGAAGGTGTCTGCACATCCAACTATCTCATATAAAATCCATAGTTTTAAATAGAGCAAATCGAATTCTGCTCCTGTTTAGACCCTTCATGTGTTAAGATAAATTACAACATAGCAACCCCTATTTTTCAGCAAGCTTGTAAAAGGGCAAGGAAAAGAAACAGAGTCCAGCTACTATAGTCTCCTGACAGATGTAGGTGTTAGCAAAGGTTTCTTTATAACATACTGAACATGTAGCAGAGCGTGCCCTCAGCTCATGGATACGCTGGTGATTCTGCTCATGAATAAAGAGGAAGGCAGGATGTCAATTATCCCAAACCGGGAAGATGTGGTGCTGCTGCTGCTGGTTATCAGAGCAAATACAGCAAATCCCCCCAACAGTCATCTTACATAAATAAACACTGCAACTATCAGCAATGCTAACCTAAGTTGTTTGTTTGCTAATTTGACACGTTTGAATAATAAAAGCTGAATTTATTGTTGCAGTGTGAACGTGTGATTGACAGCTCTGCAGAGCCTCCTGCTCCATTTGAATGACAAGTATGTTTGACACATGAGGCTGCCACCTCCTGTGATTGGCATGCTGTGATTGCAGTTTAGTCTTTAAAACATGCGTGTGCACCAGGCCTTAACACTGATGAGATCTTAACAGCCTGTGTCATTTTTGTGGTAGATTTTTATCAGATTAAAGAAGAAAAGTCTGTGTTTGTGTGCTGGTTTGAGCTCGGCTGCAGTAGCTCTGCAGGACAGATGGGGTGAATCTCAGTGAGTTGCTGTGAGATGAAGCTCAGGTGTGAGAGGTGAATGAAGCGTTCAGCAGCTCCGATGGTTCTCCCACAATCCTCTCTGCAGCTCCACCTGTCAGCCTGCAGGAGTGTGAAACGTCGTGTCGGAGGATGTGATGAGAAATCCTGCAGGGTGCTGTGTGGTGGCTGGTGCAGTTTTCTCCAGGGGGGGCTGCTATAAAAATCTAAAAATACACGTTGCAGGTATAAGATACAATCACAGGTTCTATAACAGCGAATTAAATTAAATTAGATGGGCTCTTAAGATGACTCATAGTCTGTGATCATAGTGTACAGTAACAGTATAGACAGACATGATATGGTACAGATATTAGTCATTATGAGCGAGATGAGACTGAATGCAAAGCTTTCTACTCATCCATCCATCTCTATTCCAGTCATAAACTGTTGAAAAGATGGATTCAGTCTCAGTCACATAACCCATTGGTTTCTGTTGCAGAGTTTTGGGCCCATTGGCGGTGGTTGCCATAATGGAAATGGTGACTCATGCTGTAACCCTGACACCTTCAAAATGAATGAGTTATAAAAATTTCAGTTGAGCAGACAGAGAAATAAGCCATTCACACTAAACCTGGTTTTTGACTTACACTGTAAAAATTATATATTTTTCAGTTTTGCTAAAAAAATAGGCTTTTGGAATGAGTGTGTATGTGGTTTCTGGTCCTTCTGCAGACAGCCTCTAGTGGAAACATAAGGAACTGCAGTTGTAACCCAGCTTAATTTCTTGTTTTCACTGAGGTAGTGGGTAGTGACTGGAAATATGAGATGCTGATACTTATTGTCTGAAAGGTGTCTGGGCTAAGTCTTGGAGATACGGTCAGGGGCATATGGAGGACTCATGGTGTTCAGCCTTCAGACCTTTTCATCAGAATGAGTCAGATTTGTGCAAGAAGGAGCATGTTACTCTACTGGATACAGCTCCCACCGTGGCTCTCAGTTGATGGACTCGCCTGAAGGTCTCCGTACAAACAAGCGGCTGCTGGAAGAGAGTAGGTGAGTTGTGTTTAGTCTCTTTGCCGAAGAAATTGGGCAAAGTTAAAAAGATGTTTGGTGGCTAGTGCTGTGGTTGAGACCCTGTATGTACTGTTGATGAAATTAGGTGCTGTTCTGAGCATTAGTTGTAGCTAAAGAGTGGCTTTTTGGTTAAGAGCGTGGCTGTCTGTATTGCTGTCTGAGGACGTTACTAAAGTTGGTAAGACTAGAGAAGCAAGCTGTCGGCAACATTCATCTCTCGACAGGGTGTCTAACTTGGTGTTACAGTGTGTTTGACCCTAAATTAATTTTACGCAGGAATATCCCTTTAATACTTCTTGCAATATATACATCTGCAGGACAAGGGTCCTAGAGCATCTCCAAACAGATCATAAACTTCCCCAAAACTGCAGCTTCATATTCATTTACTGACCAGTCATACCTCAGACTGCACCACTACATTCTCACTCGTTTAAGTCTGGAGGAAAAATCTGTGTTTGCCAGATTGTTTACTTTGATTTGATGCGAAGAGTTGGGTCTGTCGTGAGGTTACAGAGAGTAAATTTGATCAGAGCTGAAGGATTAAGGGCTGAGAAAGGATGAAGTGAGATAAGACAGGACTCCCTAAAGTTTGGAGGGATTTTCTTCTTTAATCTAAAACGAAAAATAAAATCAGATTTCAGACTCTAAGACAAAACTTTCCATTTTCTTTTTTGCTAAGTGATTCACCTGCAGGGTGAGTCCTTCATATTGCACCTGCAGGTAGGACTGGCAGTTCTTTGTGACCTGATGAATTTTAATGTTTGACTTTACAAAAAGCTTTTCAAGAAATGCAAAACTCCTGCATGCTGTCTAATGTGCCAAAATGACATCAATTAGCAGCGTTTCAGTCGCAGACCTTATCAGGGAAACCAGATGTGCAAAGCCTTTTTCCCTTCAGAAAAGCTTTTGAAATGTCATTTTGAACGTAATGAAAAGGTGTTTATCTCTCAGGGGGGGTTATTGTGCAGAACAATGAAGTTGTATCCATAAAAATATTCATTAAAATATCAAAACCCCACAAAACTGAGAGTACACATTCAGAAAATGAGACATATTTGGGAAGAAGTTGTCTTTTCACACATTTTTCAACTGCTGTGATAAAAATTTTCATCATTTTGTATGCACGCAAAAGCTACTTTCTCCCTCTCAGACAAATCGTGTGCAGTCTTTGGTTTAACTTGATGAAAATTGTAGCCGAGTTGAAGTGTTGAGTAATCTGTGTTTGCAGTTTCCTCTTCAAACAACGGGGTTTATGTAAGGATCATAATCCGCTCATTAATCTACAGTTACACAGAGTCAAACTGTGAAGATGGAGATGCAGCAAACAAAACAAAGCTCCTATAGGAGCAGGTTACCATGGCAACAGCTCTCCTGTTTGATGTTGTGTGACCCGCTCTGACTGCGAGTCAAAATGACTACAAAGAAAAGCGTTTTGAAGAAAAGTGAGAAATGGTTTGAGGTTCGGAGAAATCTCTGCAGCGTTCAGAGGGTCTGAGTGAGTGTTTCATCCTCCGTTCATGAGGACAAGAGAGCGAAAAAAAGACTTTAGGGACGTGAACACATGAAGGAAAAAGAGATAAATGAATTCATGGATGTGAACACATCAAGAAGAAAGAGAGAAAAAGACTTCAGGGACATGAACACATGAAGAAAAAAGAGAAAAAAAACATCAGGGATGTGAGCACATGAAGAAGAAAGAAAGAAAAAACATCAGGGACATAAACACATGAAGCAAAGAGAGAAAGAGACTTCAGGGATGTGAACACATGAATAAGAAAGAAAGGAAAAGACTTTAGGGACATAAACACATGAAGGAAAGAAAAATAAGACCAGGGAGATGAACACATGAGGACAAGAGAAAGAAAAAGACGTGAATGCATGAAGAAAAGAGAGAAAAAGATATAAGGGTGGTAAGCACATTGGGAAGAAAGAGAGAAAAAGACATCAGGGGGGTGAACACATGAAGAAGAAAGAGAGAAGAAACATCAGGGATGTGAGCACATAAGGAAGAAAGAGAAAAGACATCAGGGACATGAACACATGAAGAAGAAAGAGAGAAAAAGACATCAGGGATGTGAACACATGGAGAAGAAAGAGAGAAAAAGGCATCAGGGACGTGAACACATGGAGAAGAAAGAGAGAATAAGACATCAGGGATTTGAGCAATGAAGGAAAGAGAGAAAAAGACTTTCGGGACATGAACATATGAGCAAAGAAAAATACGACCAGGGAGATGAACGAATAAGGACAAGAGAGAGAAAAAGACTTCAGGGACATGGAGAAGAGAGAAAGAAAAAATCAAAGAAATGAACACTTGAAGAAAGAAAGACAACAGACATGAGGGAAATGAACACATGAACAGAAGGAGCTGGTTTGAACTAATGAATTCATTAAACGTGTAGAAAGTTAACAGAACTGAAACCGAGTTTCTCATGTGAATCACAGGAGGACATGAAAACTCTGCAGAGACCTGTCTGATGATGTTGACTTGTCTGTCTCTCTTCCCTGACAGTAAAAGTCTGATTTCCTCTCCCAGCTTGACAGCGATGATAACTTCACAGACACAGAAAGCTTCATTCTATTTCTGATGGGAGCTGTGCTGCTTTCAGACTTTCTCTTTTTGTTTTCAATCCATAAATCTTCCTCGTTTCTCTTCCAGACACAGAAGTGAACCTATAGCTCTTTTCGTCCTCAGAAAGTCATTTCTAGTGGTTGACCAGGTGGTTTAAATTATTATTAAATAACTGCAGACAGAAAAACGTTTGGCTCAGTAAAATTTCCCCACAAGGGAGTTCATGACTCTTGATCTTCCATCAATCTGATAAACATGTTTATTAATACTACTAACATGCTTTAGGGTAAGGAAAAGGGTAAGCTGTAGTTGTTTAATCTATAAATTGAAGTTATTTGCCTTGAGCCTGTGTTTATATCAAGAGAGCATAGAATACCAACCACGTCAGACATGAGCTCTGTAGCCTTATATTGCTATCATTTACCAACAATAAACGAAATTAGTGAGCCAAAAAATTAAATTCAAATCTCTGAAGTAGTTTAATCGTTTAAATAATCATACAGGGAGATAAAGAGGGGAAGAAGAGACCTCTGTGAATATGATCATTTACTTCAGTTTATAGATAGGACTGTGGAGCTGTCTCAGCATTTCACTATATGTTTTATTTGCTGCTATAATGCACATGTTGTACCATAAATAACCAGTGAGTCACAGAAATATGACGTAGTTTTCATAGCTGTTTCCATGTTTATCTCCACCTTTAAAGTCCTCCCTGTCTCTTCAGTGTGGGGAAAGTTTTCTTTTACCGTCATCTTGATTGGTTTGTTGGAGACTAATACTGATAGGTGCTGTTTTACCCCAGCATTTGACTCTCCTGCCAGTATGAGAGTCACCTCTGTACCATCTCAAGTTGAAGTTCAGTTTGGTTTCCTCTCATTCTTCAAAAATACTCAAGCACCTATTTCTATTGGTGTTTGGTTGAGGTTTGTGTGTGGAGACGTACGCCGCTGTGTTTTGCTATCGTGTGGTCGTTACTAAAGTTGGTTTAACTAGAGAAGCAAGCAGTCAGTAACATTCATTTCTCATTCATGTCTAACTTGGTGTTACCGTGTGTTTGACCCTAAATTAATTTTACGCCAGAATATCCCTTTAATAGACAGAGAAATTACTAGATATAGCAGGTCATAGAATGATCATTTATCATTTCATGTCCATCTCAACTTTTCTTTTTTACTTTCCTCAAGATAAACTTTACACTTACTCTGCTGTTTGTGACTCTCTGTCCCGGTCTAAACCCCGGTGTAGAGGGTGTGTAATGACCTCTGCATTCTGCAGGGGGCAGCAGCACAGCTGACTGACTGACTGGTTTGTGCCACTCGATTGGAGAGGTTATGTGACTCTCGTTTTCAGGACCATTACATCATCATTGTCTCAAACCGCACACAGACATGTTTACAGATGAGCACAGAAACACACACATGCAAACACGCAGAGGATCACTCTCTGTCATGCAGCCTAAACACATGGCTCTGCACTGTAAACACACAAACACACACGCACACACACTGAGCTGCAGTGGAGGGGGGCAGATTGAGACCCCTGTTTGTGTCTGAACAGTGCGTAAAGTTATGTGTGTTTGAATTCAGAGGGGTTGAGGAAGAGGAGTAGGAGGAGGAGGAGAGAGGGAGGAGGAAGAGGAGAGGAGGTCTGTCGACTGCAGGATTCCATCACTCTTAGCAACCATTACTGAGTTACCACGGAAACGCTCTGCGATGTTCTCTGCTTCTCCTTTGTCCCCCCCCTCCTCTCTCTCTCTCTCTTCGTCTCTTTCTCTCGTTCTCTCTCTCTCTCTGTGTCCCGTCTTCGCTGGTCGACTTCCTCCTTGCGTTGTTGCTACGGCGATGCTCTGGGACATTCAGCTGGATCACTCTGCAGCCGCAGCATCGGAGCGCAGAGCTGGACTGTTTGCAGCTGCAGGAAGTCATCAGCTGATCACCGCAGCTTCATGCCACTGCAGAAACACGCCGTCCATCCTCTCTGGCTTTTTAACTTTTTAATCCACAACTACACTCCATCCTGTGACCTTTAACCCTTACATTCTCTCACACATCAGCCTCTTCAGATTGGTCAGGCTGTCCGGTGACATCACAGGAAGTTGGATGAAGTTCTGTCGAACACAATCGCTCTCCATGTTTTTACAGCTCCGTCAGGCTGAGATTCGAGCACACTCTGCTCTGTGAACACTTCTACAAACGCCAGACCAACCCCACCTCCTCCACTGCTGAGATGAACGAGGAGACGGAGGAGTCGCAGCTATCTGAGGAGGTGCTGGAGGCTGAGGATCAACAGGAGGAGGAGCAGGAGGAGGAGAAGTCAGTGCAGGATCAAGAGGAGGAAGAAGTGCTTCAGAAAGAAGAAGAGGAAGAAGAAGAGGATGAAGAAGTAGAGCAGGAGGAGGGGATGCAACAGGAGGAGGAGGCGCAACTTAAGGAAGAAGTGCTTCAAAGCGGACAGGAGGAGACTGACTGTGAGGGGGTGCGGAAGAAGGAGGAGGTGGTGCAACAAGAGGAGGAGGAGCAGGAGAAGGACATGCAACTTTTAGAGGAGCAACAGGAGAAGACTGAGTCTGAGCAAGGAGAGGAAGAGGAGATGCAGAAGGAGGAGGAGGAGGTGAAGGAGCCTGAGGAGCTCTTGCAGCAACAGGACGAAGAACAGGAGGAGGCGCAGCAGTTTGAGGAGCTCCTCCAGGCTGAGGAGGAGGAGCTGCAGCAGAAGGAGGAGGTGCAGATTGTTGAGATGTCACAGACTGAGGTGCAGCAGACCGAGGAGGGGGTGCAGATCGAGAAAGGGGTGCAGGACTTAGAGGACGGTCTGGAGCAGAACCACAACCAGCAGGTCTTGATCCGCCTCAGAGGGATGTGAGTAAACCTGCTCGGCTATCAGACGCTGATGATGTCACGGTGGTGGTTATGATGTCATGGCGATGGTGATGATGTAAAATGATAACAGGGGTTGATTGTGTTGTTAGTGGGGAGACAACCTCGGCATCAGTGTGGTCGCCTGGTTGCTGTGGTGATGCTTCCATGAGGCGAGGACGGATGGAGGGAAGACGGATGACAGAGAGAATGAGTGAGAAACTGTGGGCGTGCGACATCTCTGAACATAGGAGAGAGAGAGGGGGGTGTTTCTGAAGTCTGTCAGTCAGATATTTTTGGGCGCTAACAAGCTAACGCCTCAGCGGGAAACATCAGAAGCACATCTGTCTGTCTTTTTGAGGACACGGCTGCAGATGTAGAACAGCCTTCCCTCCCTTTTTTTTTTTTTGTCCCCCATAGTTGCTATGGTGATGGCGGAGCGTTGCGATGCAGCAAACTCTCTGCAAAGATAAAGACGGATCAGGAACGAGAGAGGAGGGGGTGAGGCAGGGCATGAAATGATGTTTACACGCTAACTACACGCAGCCTCAACACTGCACAATGAGAACATACATGATCTCAGAGGCGTCTGTGCAGAACTTGTGAAGAAATTAAAGGAACAGTCCAACATTTTAGGATCATGCGTCTATCTTGAATGTGTTAATTTAAAGTGAAATCAGAGTTGGAAACTGTCAGATTATCTGGTTGTAAAGTTCTCTCTTTAATTTTGGGGTGTGAAAGATTTCTGTCTGAAACAATTTTAGACTGACTGTGCATGAAGATGAATGTCATATCTCTACCACCAGCCATTGAACAAAAGTGAAGCCAAACAATGAGACCAACTGGAGGCAGAGTCCAACCTGGACCTTCTGAGTGAATTCTTCAAAATAAATATCAAGTCTGCTCCACTTTGGTCAAATGGATAACTTCTTTCATGCATTTAGATATTTTTGGTAGTATAGCTCTGTTCTGAAAACTTCCTGCCTTTCTGCATATGTAATGCCTGAGGCAGGGAGAACACCCTTTTGTTTCACGTGCAAACATGATGAACAAAGACAAACAGATTGCAGCAAAAGCCTCCAGGGTGTAGAACAGAGCAGCATCAGCGGTACTGGTAAAATCAGTCTAAATATAAATGGGAGGAGCACGGTCTGGAGGCAGGGAGAGCATCAGCAAAGCCCTATGGTAATAAACAGAGCAGCATCGGTGACAAGACATATGGTACATACCTCTCTCGTTAAATTATAGAAAGGTGGATCTGGGGTGGAGGAAGGGAGAGCAGCAGCAAACATTACAGAAAGGCAGAGCTGGGGTGGAGGAAGGTAGAGCGGCAGCAAAAGTCGTTTGGGATGGAACAGAGCAGAGGTGTATCAGTGGCAATACATATAGTAACTCTTGTAAAATTGTACAAATATAGAAAAAAAAGATAGGATGGAGGAAGGGAGAGCATCAGCAAAGCCCTTTGGTAATAAACAGAGCAGCATCTGTGACAAGACATATTGTACATCCCTCTATCGTACAATTATAGAAAGACAGAGCTGAGGTGGAGGATGGGAGAGCAGCAGCAAACATTACAGAAAGGCAGAGCTGGGGTGGAGGATGGTAGAGCACTAGCAAAATTCCTTTGGGACAGAACAGAGCAGAGCCATATCAGTGGCAATACATTCAGTAACTCCTGTAAAATTGTACAAATATAGAAAAGAGAGGATAGGGTGGAGGCAGGGAGAGCATCAGCAAAGACCCTCTAAGGTACAAAAAAGAAGAGTAGAAGAAATAAGAAGAAAATGGGGAGCTGAGGTGGAGGCAGGTTGCACAACATACAGTCTACAAGTTGCTCTTCTAAGGGTCATAAAGGTGAAAACTGCTTCCACTTCCCCTGCCTTGCTGGTCATATTATGCGACCAATAGAACCAAAAACTGCAAAATGGGATTAACCCAAACATGTCAAAGTAAAAACATTTTGGAACAAATCTAACTGCGTCCTCTGGCTGCAACTCGTCGTGATGGTATATTTTTAGATCTACACTGCGGAAATGTTCCTTTCTTTCAGGCGTTGTTGTGTTGTATTTAGTTGGAAAGGAATCATAACCCATTAAGCATTAAATGTCAACACAGACAAAAAGATGACGCAGGGATATTTTCACTCTTTTTTTAATGTTTTAAACTGCCCATCTCTTGGGGCTAAGCAAAGAGGCTTTATTCAACATGACAAATCTGTCTCAGTCCAAAAATACAAGGACTGGAGTGTCTACATACTTTTGTCCGTGAAGTTACTCTCCCTGCAGGAGAACTCAGACATTAAACTGTGGGATTCCTCTTTTGGAGGTGTTGTGTGGAGGCTGAATGTGTGATCAGCGGTCTGTTTTAGACTCAGAGGAACAAACGGTGAAGATCGCTGCTCTTTCTTCGGAGGGGATCTGTCTGTTGTGTTTGCAAGTTCCATATTTGAAGAAACACAGATGGGCACTTGAGTTGTTAAATCTCAAACGCGTTGCATTCAATCTAAAGAAATTATCCCTGAAACACTTAGAGCTTCCACCCAGGTGTGTGCCTGCAGGAGTCTAGGTGACTCTGCTGTTGTAATACATGAAGAGTGCTTTGACCTCAGCTCCCCTTGACTCGAATAAAATCAGAGTCAGTTTGTCACTACAGTGGTAAACCTCTGTGTTTACGAGCCTGTAAAGGGGGAAACCTGCAGCTGGTCTCACATCTGCAGGAAAAGACAGAAAACACAGCTGGTGCAGAGTGGGGTTTGATGTGGACATCCTATCAGGACGTCTGCGAGGGCAAGAAGCTCCTTAGAGCAGCTGGACTGACAGTGAAAGCTTATTTTTCTGACACTTTTCTCAGCTTACTGCTGTCAACCAATTAGTTCATTTCTGCCGGAGGTCTCAGCCTGACAGAGAGACTTTTTTTTTTCTCCTTTTGATTCTGTCACTGAGTTTTTGCTCATTGGTGGATGAAATTAGGTCTTTGTTAGAGACATTAGAGACATTTCAGTCCTGCTCTCTACAAGAACAGTTTGTTTTAACTTTATACAGAGATTCTGGATCATGCAAATGAGAAACTGATGAAACTCTGCACCAATTGGCTATTGTCTCACTGCGATCAAACCTGTGGGAGTGGCGGCTAACCTTTCGAGGGGTTTCTGCTGCAGCCAAAGATAATCAGCAACAACATCTGATGAAGACTTTCTTTGGTGCATTGCATTTATTCACAGCCTTACTGAGAAGTGAGAGTGGGTTATTTGCTGCACCTGCATGTAGGTACCCATTTTGAAAGATTTATGAAAGGTAGATGGTAGATCCGGTTTCTGTATTTCTGTGCAGATCTCATAAAAAGAGACAAGAGTTTTATTGATTTAAAACCCAAATTTCTGATCTTTCTTTGTTTTGCCGCCAGGAGCCAGAAAAGGGGAGAGGAGAGAGGGGTTATTGAAAATGTCAATATGTTCTTTCTGGTGCAGTGTGTTCAGTAATTACACCCACCGAAGCACAACGAGTGATTTTCTGACTTATTTTCGCCTCTCAGGCTGCTCAAAGATGAGTGCTCGCCCTGCTGGCTAAAAGAAAGCACCTGCAGATTGAAGCCAGGTGTTTCAACATAAAGAACTAATGCTGCCGCAGCTTCTCCTGCCAGGGTCTGAGTGGGTGCATAATCAGTGTTGATGGTAAATGAAATCCAGGAGGAAAAACATCCTGAGTTTGGTCTTTACTGAAAGGGAAGCTGCGTCCTTCCACTATCTTGACATTTGTATCAAATGGATTCGAGATTCAAGCTTTTTTATTGTCAATTTCAGCCTCATGTGAGTTCATACACAGGAACTGAAAAAGACGTTTCTTTCCAAAAAATTCAGAAAATAATTTTTAAAAAGTACATTAGAGAAGAGGGAGTGGTTTATGTGTCCGCATCTACTCTCATGTCTACTTTGTCTATGCATATATACAATCCTATACACTCTACTACTCATATTTAGGGATCAGTTGATGCCACTAAAACATGCATGGGATAGTTTATGTAAGACACTCTGACACTCTCTCAGGTCAGATCAGCACCTCTGTCTGCTCTTTCGCTCTCTTTCTGGACTGATATGCAGCGAGACGCGTCACAGGGCGCATTAAAAATGATACAAACCCTTTAGGGCTCATATAAATAGTTTAAAATCAAGTTAATTTTAATACAAATGTTAAAATGATTCCTGTTCAAATGATTAAATCTCCAGTTGCACTTTTTTTCCGTCTTTTATATAAGATTTGAGTCAGATTTAACGCTCTGGAGTGTCTTTCGCTGATGTAATTGAAGTGTTAAAGTTGTAAAATGAACTCTCTCATGAGATTCGTGAGTGCATTTTACAACTCAGCTGAGAAACAAGCCTTTAAAAATAACATTGAATTTTACAAGAAGTCGTGTATCATGGAGGAAGCAGCATTTTGTGGCCTGAAAATCTAAAATATAGGAGTATGTATAAATATCTTGAAACACATTTTCATTTTATGTCTTTATTTTGGCACCAAATTACGGAGAGTAGTACTGATATAGAATTTTCATCAGTAGCTGCGTGTACATGGGCACAAATAATCGGAAAAAATGTCCGATCAGAATAAAAATGCGTCATGTAAACGTGTCTAACGGAGGATTCCGATCCAATTCAGCTCAGTGGAAAAGAAATTGTATTCTGATCGAGAGGGGTGGTTTATGCCGATTGTTATTCTGAAACGCGTCCATGTTAACACTTATTCCGATCGTGACTCTCTTAAAAAAAAACAAAAAAAAACACAACCGCAGATGCCTTGTCTGCTCCTCTGGTAACATAACAAAGCGTAATGATGTCACATCTGCACGCACAGCGCAACCTTTGACAGAAAAGTAAAATAGTACATAAGGGCGCCATCTAGTGACAATATTTAACAGGGTAAAAACTCCTGAATATGATGAGGTGAGCCACTACCGCGCTTGTTGGTGTGTTGACAAAAGGTGTCAATACAACTCTTCTTCTGTGGTTGTTTTTAGAGAAATCAGACAACTCTGCGCATGTCCAAATGCTTCTAATCTGAATAAAGCTCGGTGCATGTGTACATAATCTGATTTTTAAAATTTTGCACCCATACAAACAGTGGATTCAGATATTCTGATCCCTCAATATTTTAATCAGATCAATAAATTTTGCACATGTAAACATAGCTAGTCTAGGTGTTGACCATTACTAATGGTACCAGTTCTAGTTTTGATAATATCCCAACAATACACATGTATTTATGTGTAGAAAGGCGGAAATCTGCTGTGTAAATAGTAACACCTGCCTGTGTTCTCAAATATAAAGTAATCTGATCTCACTTTAATCCTCCCATTTTCTCCCTCCATTACATTGTTTTAAAAAGCAGAAATTAAGGCTGAAATACTCCAAAAAATACCTCCAAAACACTGACCATTCTCTAAAAGGAGGCTTTCTCTGATGCAGAGGACGTTTGCCACAGCTGAAGTTTGTCTCTCGTACTATTTATCTGACTCTAAAAATAGAGAGAAGGCAGGAAATTAGAGACCAACCCCTCTAATGAGTGTGGTTACATAATAACGTGTTCAAACCGGACGTTTGGCTGGAGTTTATATGTCCAGAAGTGCCGAGACTTTTGAATGATTCACATGTGAGGCGAGAATTTCTATCCTGCTTTATTTCACACTCTGGTCCATCTCATGTCTGATGCTGGTGAACCAATTTGACCGCTGAGAGCTGATCTGTGACTCATCGATCTGCGGACAGACGCTCCCAAAACCAGGAGAGTCTGATGTCTGAAATATCAGATGAATGAAATTGAAATATTCCTTAAACACAGTCTAGCCTGTGTCCTCTTTGTACATTTACATTTTGTAATGAGATCATTTGTCATTCTTCGCATCCCTGTTGTCTCATTTATCACGTTGCAGCAGAAAAACTCAGCAGTGATGTTGCTTTAATGGATGTTTCTCACCGGCAGCAGCAGTGAAATAAAAAATGCGCAGCATCATTTTCACTACAAAAAAAAATCAGATTTATGCCCCCTGGCAGATCCTGCTCTGTTTAACAGACCTGTCTGCTAACAGCAGCTTGTTTAGTTACCAGTCAGTGACAGAGAGAAACTATGACAGGAGCAATAAAAACAGAGACTGACCAGGAGGAGTTACCGAAGAAGCTGAAGCCAAGGGAAGTGTTTAATTTAGCCAAATCCTGTAATAAACATTAGTGAGTAAAAGTGTGAACTGTCAGCAGTGATTCAACAACAGAAACTCTGGAGGTGTAAAAATAAGAACACAGACTACAGAAACCAGACCAAACACTTACATAACTCCAAATGTAACTCTGAGGGGATATCCATCATTCATAGAGATATTCAATATTTATCAAATATTGTGGAATATCTTTTTTAAAGGTTAGAAAGAGGGTTTCTGCAAAGCTTGAGGCAAATGTCTCAGAGTGGGTGTGAAAACTTTGGTTTGACAGTTCAAAGAGGACTGAATTTCAAAGCATGCATTCTTCTTTGTCAGTGTTGAGGCCTGCGTTAACCGCAATGCAACTCTAGTGTTTAAAGTTTCGCATCAGGATCTGGCGAATTCATAGACTGTATATAGAATGGACAGCGTTAACCGCAATGCAACTCTAGTGTTTAAAGTTTCGCATCAGGATCTGGCGAATTCATAGACTGTATATAGAATGGACGCTGTCTGCCTCCTCGCTGGGTGAAGCCACTCCTAGAACAGCACACCCTGGTGACAGGGTGCAGTATATGTCATAAATCCCGCCTCATTTAGCAAAGCTTATGGAACTGTGGACAAACTGTAGAAATTTATCACACAGAACATAAATTTTTCCCCCCCTGCTTGCGATGTTGACATGTAGTTACTGTAAAAGTCCTTACACACCGGGAACGACGCAAATTTGACGACGCAAAACTCAGAAATATTCAGAGGCGAATTTTGACACGCCTGACTATACACATCAGGCACGATACGATTTTGCGGCTTTCCAAGGGGAAAAAAGATGCGAAAATAAAGCGAACGCCGAAGTCCCAAAACTGCAGTTCCTTAAATGTCCACCAGAGGATGTGTCTTAAAGTGAGTCAGCCCCCACTGAGATGTCAAACTTAAAAGTGGAAATAGACATGTTTACAGCATGATGCACAATCATAATAAAAATTACATTGATAATAATAATAATAAGGATAATAATATTAATGCAGATATTGTAATGAAACTTAAAAAATGAAACTTGGACTGACTCTCAGATGGACAACACTGACATTGATTTCATCGTAGTCCAGATCGAGTGCATCTACTCTTCAATCCACAATTCTGTCTTTGCATGGAGGGAAAGCAAACACATGTGCACAGATTTTTATTCATTTTTAGTTTGTCATCCTCCTTGTTACCACGGTAACAGCAGAGCATTTTAATGCATTAAAACTCTGCCGGAGAGACGGGAGCAGAAAATTTCATCTATTCATTAATTTTATAACTCTCTGTCTTTATCTGAGTCGTGTCTTTGTGATTGTTTGTTTGAGTTTCAACATCGATTTATTTTTGTGTAAATGCTTTTTTAGGGAGGAGTGATAGAGACAGATGAAAACAGGGGGAAATATAGAGACTGTGCATGTGTGAGGAGTTCATCAGTTTGTTTAGCGAGGCGTAAAATAGGACAGAAACCTGTCGGAGCGGTCCAATAACTGAGATGGTAAATCATTTTTTTTCCAGTCACCTGAAATATGAAAATGAAGAAAATTTGGACTCAAAGAAAACAGAAAACACGCAGTTCCTGTACTGAAACTCATCTGTCTGGTTCAGTAAATACATCAAATTCCTCCACTCAGCCGTGTGAAACTGTAGAAAACAGGATGTCATTTTTCCTTGACATTGCATTTGCATTAATATTTATGTGCTAAAGTGTCAGCCTGGAACAACAGAGATATTTACATGAATTTCTATATTTTTATGGTGCTTTCTCAGTCGCTTCATTATCAGAGCTGCTGCAGGGCGTTTGGTGTCGATGTAGGCGGTGTGGATGGAGTTTACCGCTCAAAAAGTGTGAAACGCACCCTGTGGTAGAGCCTCACATCGACAGACTCACACAGAGAAGTAATACATGTTTAATAAAAAGATACTTAATGTGCAATAAAACGTCCAAGGTGAGGACGACACAGCTGGAGGACAGGGACGAAGAGAGGGAAGATAAAAAGTGTCAGTGAGACTTCTGCTCAGAAAAATCAGACAGAGTGGTGACTCATTCCTCATAAAATATCTCTGTCCTTAGCTATTTCTGTGTCCGTCCACACCTGTCTCTGTCCTTACCTGTCTATGGACTTGTATATCTCTGTGTGAGGAGAGAGACGGAGGAAGATCTGCCCTCACCTGTCTGTGTCCTCAGGTGTGACTGTCTTCTTCATTGTCCAGAGATTCTTACCTGTTTTTTTTCGTCCACACCTGCCTCGGTTTCTGTCCCCACCTGTCTCTCACTCTACTCAGATGTCACTAATACCCTACTTGTCCTTGTCCTCACCTGTCTTCTGTGATCACCTGTCCATGTCCTTCCACCTTCTTCTGTACTTACTCTCCAACGTTACTCTCTTTATCGTTGCCTTCTCCTTACTCTCTCTCCTTACTCTCTCTGTCCTTGCCTTCTTCTCTCCTTACTCTCTCTGTCGTTGCCTTCTTCTGTCCTTACTCTCTCCATCCTTACTCTCTCTGTCCTCACCCCCTTCTGTCCTTACGCTCTCTGTTCTCACCTTCTTCTGTCCTAACTCTCTGTCCTCGCCTTCTTCTGTCCTTACTCTCTCTGTCCTCACCTTCTCCTTTCCTTACTCTCTCTGTCCTTGCCTTCTTCTGTCCTTACTCCCTCTGTCCTTGCCTTCTTCAGTTTTTCTCTCTCTGTCCTTACTCTCTCTGTCCTCGGCTTCTTCTGTCCTTACTCTCTCTGTCCTCACCTTCTTCTTTCCTTACTCTCTCTGTCCTTGCCTTCTTCTGTCCTTACTCCCTCTGTCCTCACCTTCTTCTGTCCTAACTCTCTGTCCTCGCCTTCTTCTGTCCTTACTCTCTCTGTGCTCACCTTCTTCTGTCCTTACTCCCTCTGTCCTTGCCTTCTTCAGTTTTTCTCTCTCTGTCCTTACTCTCTCTGTCCTATGCTTCTTCTGTCCTTACTCTCACTGTCCTTTGGCTTCTTCTGTCCTTACTCTCTCTGTCCTCAGTTTCTTCTGTCCTTACTTTCTTTGTCCTTACTCTCTCTGTCCTCGGCTTCTTCTGTCCTTACTCCCTCTGTCCTTGCCTTTTTCCGTCCTTACTCTCTCTATCCTCGCCACCTTCCGTCCTTACTCCCTCTTTCCTTGGCTTCTTCTGTACTTACTCCCTCTGTTCTCATCTTCTTCTGTCCTTACTCTCCACGCCTGTTTCTTTATACCTTAACTGCATTTATTTTGGCCTTCTGTGTCTGTGTGTCTGCCATCATCACACCTCTCTCCTCTGTCTTGTCCTCACATGTCTCCCCCTCTCACCTGTCCATGTTTTCTGCGCCTGCTTTTTAGTCATTTTCCTCCCCGGTTTCTGTGTCTGTCATCATGTCTGTCTCCTCTCTTCAGCTCTACATGTCTCCCACCTGTCCCCGTCCGTGTTTTTCTGCAGCAGGTATTTGGATTTTTTCCCGTCTCTGGCAGCGCCGCGCTCGCTGCTGGCTCTGCTGTCCCCCTCTTTGTAATTCAGAGTTTCTCCGCCCACGCAGGCCGGGGTACAATTACTGCTGGAGCATGAAATAACAGCTTCCTGCAGGCAGGTTTCAAAGCCCAGACGTGTCAAAGCAGCGATCAGCCTCCAGGGTCAGAGTCCAGGGCTGCTGGTTTATTTCTGCTGGACATATTCACACCAGAGAGGCCGTTTGATTGGTCCGATTCATGTTGAGGATTTACTGCAGAGCTGAGTGTTTACTGTACTGCTTTGGTTTACAGAGGACTCACTTTCTTAGTGTTTGAGTTCTGCACTGTGCTGAAGCAGCCCTGGAGAAATATCTGTCTGAGTCCATCATAATTTCTCACTTATGGACAAAAACACACTATTTGTGTCTCTAACAATATTTGAGGAGATCTCTGCAGAGTCCAGAGAGAGCTCAATCTGACGGACAGTTTCACTTATCGAGACAAGTCTTGGCACTAAAAAGGCTATGAAGCAGGATTAGAAAACGCAGGAGACGTTAAAGACACGTTTGTGTATGCTTGACTGATGGGAGGAACAATTTCAGAAACTGACCAGAAATTAACCAACAAAGAGGGGGGTGTCACAGAAAGACTCGATAGTGACAGGGGGCAATTAAGCCTGAGTGTGACACAAGAAAAGATGTGTAAATATGAGTAATTTCAACAGATAATTAAGTTTGTACGATCCTGATATCCAGCCTCATGAATGAGAAGTATGGGCTCCTCTAAAGAATAAGAAATCAGCCGTTATGCTCGATTGTAGCTAATGCTCCGAACTCCTGCATAGTAATTCAGACATGTCAAACTGAATGAAATCACATTTTTTTGATGAGCTATTTCAGTCCTTATTTGGTCGTCTAGATAATGTTTTGATCTCTATTCATACCTGGAGGATAAATGAGGTTTAGGTGTCTTTATTTGGTCTCCTGTCTCCAGAGATAATCCCGATGATCCCTCACTGAGTAAAGAAAAGACTCTGTGAACTTTGATTTGATTCATTTATTACTTATAATTGTATTTGAATAATTCAATACTATGGTATTTGTGAAATGTAATCATTATTTTGTAAGGAGTTGGATTTGATATAATCCTGTTATTATGGCCAGTGTGCATTATGTGACCTGCAGTACCAAATGTGGCCACTGTGCTGAAGTCGTCTTATGCTGATCTCGGTCTGAACATGGTGTGTTTTGTATGTTTCACTGACTGCTCTGATTTTGTTTTTGTCTTTTTTTTTCAGGCAGAAGTATAAAAGTACATCACAGAGGTAAGAAACACACAAGTACACAAACACACTCAGTAAACACATTTATTTACTCAGGTCAATTTAGAGAAGTGTATGCTTTGTGAACTTCTCGTGGCATCAGGCAAAAGTGGAGGCTTATCTTCTTTATTTTTTTATTGATAATGTTTAAAACTGCTTTTTTTAAAATGTGTGTATAACCACCTGTTATATTTGTTTTTCCATCCTGTTTTATGGCCATAACAACAACAACAAAACATTAAATCACACAATCTTAAAGCTCCTGTGAGAGTTCTTTTAGTTTGTGTCCATTTTGGCGCCCCCCTGTGGCCGAAAGGTTTCGCTCTATTTTTTCTCTTTTTCTCTATTCCAAAGCTTTTTTGGCACTTTTAGTTTAGTCAAAAAATGAAATCATGTTTTTTTGATATGTCAGTATTGTAGAGAGAAATTTTGCTCCTCCATCCCTCCCTAAAGAGTTTAGAGGTTTTAAATAAATGTGCAACATTTAGAAATATAACGTGGATGTTTTTGGATGATTAATAGATGGCAAACTGAGTTTAGACTACAGCTACAGAAGAGCATAAATGTTATTTGTAAGATTATATGAGCAAATTTTTCATATAGCAGTCCCAGAACAAAGTTATTGTATATAATTGTAACTTTGCTGTATACTGTTTACTTTTATATATGCTATCCTGTGACTGAGACTTTGTTTTTTGTATTTCTACCTCCAATAACTAAATCTATAGGAACGAAGCACTCTACTCTACTCTACTCTTTTCTATTGTATTCTATTCTTATCTATTCTGTGTCCTCTGCAGCGTATGATAAATCCGTTTTCCAGGAAAATTAAAAATGCTTCGGTGTCCTCAGTCTTGAACTTTGTGTTCCCTCCTTCCCTCCTTTTCTGACTCCAGCTGTAACCATGGCAACTGAAACATATTCCATCCAGTTTACGAGGAGGTGTTTTGATTGCCATGGTGACGGCACAATGCTTAGCCGCAGTGGAGTCTTTATGTGTTCTCCGTTGTAAACATTCAAAACCATCGAAACCCTCCCTTCCATCATGTGTCCTGTAAAAACACAGGGACAGCCTGCAGAACACACACATACACACATTTATAAATATATATATTCATTATTTGTCCATCCACCCATTCTACCAGGGCTGCAGGACAGGTACAGGGCGTTTTACGAGCAGTCTTCAGGGTACAGGTTGCTCTTTCACACCCACTCAGCATCTCCCAGCAACAACAGATTAGGCCCATAATTCACTTTTACGACGCTGGAACTTTTGACACTGTTATGGGAAATGTTCTATAAAGGTGCAGCCAAACTCTGCATTTTTATAACCTTGAAATCCACTGGGGAACCATCTGGTATTGGTAATTGACAGGGAACAATGGCCAGCTTTTAAGGCGCTGTGATTTATCGGGTAGTCGGCGGTCACTGCTGCAGTGTTTACAGTGAAACTAGCAGAAGAGAAGAGAAATTCAGCCCTGCAGATATACCTGAAAAACAAACGATTTTTAGTTCAATGCGTCATATTTATGTGTTTCTGGTGAGTCTCAGTTTCTCTGTAAATAGAAAACAGAAACGGATGACTTTCCTTAGTCAAACGTCAAGCTTTGTCAGGTCCGTACTTGATGGTTGTGGTTTTAAACTGAGATGAACTGCCTTCCTGACAGAGGCACAATGAGTATACAAGGATAGAAATTTACACTGAGGTCCATCAGGCAGCACTTTCAGGAGACTCCCATTGCTTTCTGTGGGCGTTGGATGATTGACAGGAGGTAGGGTGTCATGTGACCATCTGGAGGAAGCAGATTTTCATGTTCTGGTTGTGTGGTGAGAACAGGACGGCAGCTGTGTGGGGGCAAAGTATGAAAAACAGTACTTCCTTCTGTCAGATCGCAGGTGTGTGAAGTCTAATGAGACGATTTCTGAAGAGTATCTTAGCTATCGTTTAGATATGCTGAAGAATTATACTAGTACTATTAAAGCTGCTGTCTTAGAAACCAAGAAAAAGTCTCTGAATCTCTGCAACCAGGTAACAAGGTGTACATCCGTGAAGTCGTGCTGAATGCTCTGACGTCCACTTCAACATCCTCTGTGAGATTTTCTCGGACAAAGACTCTTGAATTGGATGAAAAAGTTGTTTCCTGTGTACCTGCAGCAGCTCAGACAGCGTTCCCAGAATCTGACCACTCTTTATTCAAGTGGGCGGTAAAAATAGTTTTGGGTGGGCGAGTTCAAGGCCGTGATTGTCTGATTGAAATCAGTGAACACTGAGCCGAGCAGAGGAGCGTGATAAGAGGGGGATAACAGCTGGTACAGAGTGTTTCCTGCAGACCCACTCAGGAGAGGCCAGGTCTCTGCAGGCTGATGAAACTGAAAACAACATGAAGTTGAAGAGATTTCATTTCGGCAGTGAATGGACGTGCTGTTTTACTGCAAATCATGAACCAAAACTCATTCTTGTTTCATGCATTTACAAGCAGAAACACTCAAAGGACAAATTTCCCTCTTCTTCTCTGCAGGCGTGTGAGATAGGAGTTCATGAGCGACTTTTCATAGGAGAGGCTCAAATATCTTTCAAAGTCATTGATTTTTTGTACAGCTCCTACCTCGTTCTTGTGGGCTCTTGTGTTTTCTCATCTGGTCCTTTCTTCCTGAGCAAATATCAGTCTTTAAATCTGAGCACATAACGTTATAACCACCACTGCCAGATTTTTGTATTTGCTCTTAATCATTCTTTTCGCTCTGCAGTACTTATCCACTTCCCTGAGTTTTGTCGTTACCTCCAGGTCCGGCTCAGACTCTTTCATCTTCCTTTCCCGTAAGCTTTCAGGCGGCACTGAGGTTTAAACATTTCACTGATTCGCCTGAGAAATGAACAAAGTTAAACGGTCCGTTTTATTTTGCTTGCACGTTGCTTTATGTTGCAAATGCAATTACCCTGTTTGTCTCTCTCTCTCTCTCTCTATCTATCTATCTTTGCCTCTTTCTTCTTTTTTGGAAAAGGACCAGGATGTGTGACTTAATCTCAAAAACTTTCAGATCAGTGATCAATGAAATGATATCTCTGAAAAGTGTAACACTATAATTTGCAAATGCAGCATTTTGTATTTGCAGTTTTTGAAGTTTGATTCTTTAAATTGGTTTGAATCCACTCTAAGCCCTCGCTCAACTCAAGAACAGTTGACTGAGGGCCATTTCACAGAGTATGCCAAAGTCAGAATGAAGCTTAATGACACAATAAATCTATGATTTAAACAGGGATCCATTAATAACTGTGGCGTTTCTGTATGATGGAGGATTATTGTGGAGGATTATGGTGATTATTACTTCAAGGAAATGATAAAGAAATGATCATAAATGTTCTTCCTTGAGCTGCGTCACCCCGCTGTAGTCTGTAATGGACTGGCCCAAGGTCTCGCTACACACAAACGGCTGCTGGAAGAGAGTCAGTGAGTTGTGTTTAGTCTCTTTGCTAAAGAAATTAGGCAAAGTTAAAAAGATGTTTGGTGGCTAGTACTATGGCTGAGACCCTATATGTACTGTTGATGAAGTTAGGTGCTGTTCTGAGCATTATTTGTGGCTATAGAGTGGTATTTTGGTTGAGGTTTGTTTATGGCTTCTCAGACCGCTGTGTATTGCCATCGTGCGATCGTTACTAAAGTTGGTATAACTAGAGAAGCAAGCAGTCAGCAACATTCATCTGTCGAGGGGGAGTCTAACTCTGTGTTATGGTGTGTTTGACCCTCACTTAATTTTACGCCGGAATATCCCTTTAAGTTAAACAAAAAGGAAAGAGCCCAAAATCCAACAAAAGACAGCGGAAGGAAAAAAATCTCAAGGAGACACTGGCATAAACACAGAGACATCGGCATACAACGCCAAATGAACCAACAAAGAAACAGGGGAAGACAAGGACTAGAAACACGGGGAATAAACTTCTACAAAATAAAACAGGAAACACAAAAACTGAAGAAAGAATAAAACACTGAGAACATGAGGGAAACAGGGTCAGATACAATCTGGAAACTCACAAGACAAAACCACAGTGGAACAGAAACAATAGGAGAAATCACAAAGAAATGAAACTCAAATCAGAAAATGAGGGGAAAACTAGATTAACAGAACATATCATGACACCTGCTGTGCTCACTGATCTGTCCTCTTATGTACACACCACTGACTGATCACATGACTTTGTTTGTGTGTGTTTTTAGGCTGAAGATGGTCCTGGAGCAGATGGACCGAGGCGTGGTGGACCTGCAGGAGCTCCGCAGGAACCTGGAGCTCGCCGCTGCCATGTTGGACTCGGTGTACACGGATGAGACCAGGTGAGACTCAGCAGGGCGGTGATCTATTCTCTGTTTGTCCACACTGACACTGACGATTGTTTGTTTGTTTGTGTCTGCAGGCGTCTGTTAGACACCGAGGACGAGCTCAGTGACCTGCAGGCCGAGTCTGTGCCCACCGAGGTGCGTGATTGGCTGGCGTGCACATTCAGCAGGAAGATGGGCGTGGCCAAACGCCGTCCCGAGGAGAAGCCGAGATTCAGGAGCATCGTCCACGCAGTGCAGGCTGGGATATTTGTTGAGAGGTAACGGTTCGCTTCAGAGATAGACGGATTTATTGGATTTCTTAAATAACTGATATTGGCTGATTTAAAAAATGAACAAATCATTTCTGCAGACACTGTCAAGCAACGTCAACATGATAAATGACAGGAGATCAAATCTGACAGTACGTGTGAAGTGTTAGATTTATATTCTGTTATCATTTGTAGGATAATGCAGTTTAATATTGACCATATATGGACCAAACTCAGTGTTTTGGTGAAATAAGTAGGGATAGGAATCGAGAACCGGTTCCAAATGGTTCAATCCATCGACATCATTTACATTTTATCTTAATGATTCCTTTCTTTTGGGTGCCTTGAAAAACAGTCTCGGAGTGCCAGTCTACGCAAACGGGAGCAGAGACAGAGAAAAAAACATGTCGGATGGCACGAAAAGTAGGCAGAAATGAGCTAAAGCGTGGCTTAATTTTACAAAGAAAGACGACAACAGTGCAACGTTTGTTGAGCAATTATAACATCCAACAACATGCTTAAACATTTTCTAACAGGGCACGGCATCAAATGTAAGGAGTCATGTATTTGATGCTCTCCAAAGGTCGTCAGCCGCTGCAGCTCCATCTTAGCACGGCATGGAAGGTACATATGATAGAGTGACCATACGTTCTCTTTTACCCGGGCATGTCCTCTTTTGGGGGGCTTGTAGAATCAGTGCATCAGTGCTCTCTGCAGCTCTGCCCCTCCACTCACCTCTAAGCAAAGCCACCGACGCGACGCACGCATGCATGCACTGTCTTTGGGAATTCAGAATATGCGTTTAACTTAGTTAGAAGTGCATAAAAAACACTCGACCCGACCCCAAAAAACCCTCAATATTTCACACACAAGTCCGCCCCACGTAGTAGTGTCCTCTTGTTGGGGATTCAGAATATGCACACGATGTATGCTAGAAATGCTGTACAAATAGCATTATTAAAAAAATTATTATTTTTAGACTCTCACTGAAGGTGGCAAACATTTTTTTTCTGTTATCAGAGACTCAATAAAATGTTAAGTTAACGGTGAAAACCTAAAGTCTACTTTTTTTTTTAAAATCAAAGACAGGCATTGATAAGGGAATCATTAAAGAATTGAATCGATAATGGCATCGATATTGATAAAATCTTATCAATTCCCATCCCTAGAAATAAGAGAAGAGACCTGCGTCTGTGCAGCAGGCTGAGGATGGTGAGGGAGATTTGAGGAGATTAGAAGTTTCAGACTTTCAGACTTTGATCTGAATAAAATTAAAACGTTGTAATCTTTTATTTCTTTTATGGGCACATTTTCAAGATTCAATCTAATCCAATGACTTTAATCAGATGAGTGTCGGGCAGCTGGGTCCTGTTTTAAAGACTGAACCCTGCAGAGAGAGTCGATCAGAGGAGCAGGTGAATGTTCATGAGATAAAGAGCAGAAAGAAAACCTGCGACTGCTCTCAGATCAGTCAGATATCAGAGTTATTTCGGTCTCTGTCTCCATCACCTTAAGAGAGAAGAGAAAAACAACTTCTCAGAGACCAACATGAGGGAAAACATCCGGCTGAAGTTCTGCTGCGATGTGATTAAAGTGGAGGACGGCCGAGTAACCACGTTAGCGTACAAGCAGAGATGGAGACGCAGATCAAGGAGGGAAACCAGGAGGTCCGCTGTCATTAGAGAGTCAGTGAGAGCGCTATCACTTCATCTGCCGCCGCTTAATGACGCATGAAATCAGAAAATATCTGCTGCACCGTGACGGCCCTGACCACGCCACTGCTCACTCTGGGTGTTTAGAGCCCCGTTACTATGGCAACAAACACTCTACCCTGCTCACAAACTGAGGAGGATGGAGTGTTTATATGCGCACAGCTGTCTGTATCAGCAAGTGTGAGCTCTGATATTTATATCTGTGTGCGTGTTTGTATGTGTTTGTGTGTGTGTGTGTGTGCGTGCACGGCTTCAGGATGTACAGACGGACGTCCAACATGGCCGGTCTGACCTACCCTCCCACAGCTCTGACAGCTCTAAAGGTAAAAAACTGTTTGACAACTAAAGAACCATCTGCAGGAAGTGACTTCATTTATTTATTTTCATAATAAAAGCACTCAGAGTTACTTATTTAAATACTTTTCAAACTTTTAAAAACTTTTGTGCAGGAGGTTTCTGCTCTAAAAAAGGAAAGGAGGAAATGAAAGTGGGAAAGGAGGCTAAAGATAGGAAGGAAAACATGACTGAGAGAAAAGGAGGAAGTAGGAAAGGGAAGATGGAAAGAGGGATAGGATTGAGGATTAAAGGGAACAAAAGAGGAGGTGAGAAAGTTGAAGGAAAGAAGAAGGAATTGAAGCAGAAAAGAGGGGGAGTAGACATATGTAAAAAAAGAATAAGAAGGTTTTTGTGATAAAGAAAGGAAGGAAAAGGTTCCACTCAGATTATGAAAAGGGTGGAAAAATAAGGAGAAATATAAAGAAAGAAGAGATATGGAGAAGGAAAGATAGGAAGATGAGAAGCGGACAACTAAAAAGACAAGGCGGGTTAAAAATTGAGGAAGCAATGAGGGAGGAAAAGAGGATGAGAACTGACAGAAGTGGATGATAGACAGAGAAATAAAAAAGTAAAAAGAGGATTGAAGATGGAAAAAAGAACCATGAGGGAATTTAGAAGGTAGAAAAGGAGACAAGAAAAAGGAGGTATATGGGGTCAAGAACGTGGAGGGTGTAAATTATAGAGGTGGAGGAGAAATAAAACAGAGGGCAAGTGAGGAGAGAAGGAATAGAGATGAGAAGAAGGGAGGTAAATGGAAGGATTCAAGAGGAGGGGGGAAGTAAGGAAAGGGAAGAAAAAAGGACACAAAAATAGAGGCAAGAAAGGAGAGACTAATAAATGATGGACATCAAGACAGCAAAGAAGCTTAGAGAAAGGAGGGAAGAAAGGAAAGAAAGGTGTTTAAGAAGGAGATAAGGAAAGAGAGTAGAGGGAAAGTGAACAAGCGATGGAAGAAAGAAGGGAGGTATAGAAAGGAAAGAATGAAAACCTGGAGCGAAAGATGAAGATTGAGCGTGAGGAGAAAGAGGTGGAGAAATCAAGTGCCTCTGGTTTTTGTTTGTGTGATGAGAGATGTTTCCTCCTCTGGACCTACACTACACTAACTCATGATTCGATTAGATATATAATGATATAATAAATGTTATTATTCTGTCTGTTCTTCCTCATTTGTGCTCCTCTGAGGATGTAAAGCATTTAGAAGAAGAAAAGAAATAAACTTTATAGAGAAAAACAACATAATCTATAATGTAAACAACACTGAATTCAATAATGACCTCATCAGTAATCATGATCAGTGATTTAATTGGCTGTTCTGTTTCACCTCCTGCTGCTCTGAGTAATCGTAGTCACCACACCGCCCTCTGCTGGCAGTAATCCTACATTACACTGAAAGTAGATAAGAGATTTAAGCTCTCTCCTATAGAAACTGTTATTGATAAGACTGACTCCTAATCTGATTGGTTGTTCTGCAGGAAGTGGATCAGTGGTCGTTCGATGTTTTTGCCTTCCATGAGGCGACTGGAGACCATGCGCTGAAGTTCCTGGTCTACGACCTGCTGACCCGCTATGACCTCATCAACAGGTTCAGGGTACACATGGCTTTTATGGTTAACATCTTTAAAGTGGGTGGAGCTTGATGTCAGAGCCAAAGGCAAAGGTGTGCTCAGATAAGAAAATCATTCAAAACAAGACAGGACTCTGTAGTGGAAATCACCTCATGGGCTCGTAGTCACTTTTCTGGACCTGTACCCGTTTAAAAAAGGAAAACTGTCCCGACTTTTTCAGGAAGGACCTTTTGTTGGTTTTCAACATGTTACACAGCGTCCCGACTGAATTATTGTTGGGGTTGTCCTTCTAAAATGAGTCCTACTTGTGGTTTAACCTGTCATCTCTCTGGTTTCAGATCCCGGTTCAGGCTCTGGTTCAGTTTGTTGAGGCTCTGGAGAACGGATACAGCAAACACAAGAACCCGTACCACAACCTGATCCATGCGGCGGATGTCACACAGACTGCGCATTTCCTCATGCTACACACAGGACTCATGGTAACACACACACACACACAAAAAAAACATTCACACTGTGGCATCTCAGTTTCTGTACATGATCTCAGTTGATGGTCACACTTTGGACTCAATAATAAACAGTCTGTTTGCCTGTAAATTTGTGTCTGTGTGTTTTCAGCACTGGTTAAGTGAGCTGGAGATCCTCGCCATGGTTTTTGCAGCAGCAATTCATGACTTTGAGCACACAGGAACCACCAACAACTTTCACATCCACACCAGGTGAGTGAGAAAGATAGGAATTAATCTGTTAAAGAAAAAGCTGACTTTGGAAATGAACAAATTCAGGAGTAAAAGTAGAGACAGCATTTGGATCAATACTGAAACAGACAGCTCCTTTGAGTCGGATAATATGTTAGCACAAAATAAGCTGTATTTTTACTTTTGTTTTTTGTGTTGGAAAAACTAAAGGTCAGATCATTTCATCTGCAGTAAGTTATATTTGGCAGTAAGACCCTGTTCTAAAAGCTTCCTGCCCTTATATAATGCCAAAGGCTTATGCAGGAGGGGACGACTCCCCTCTGTTTCATGTGAATATATGAAAAGCCAAAGCAGGGAAAACAGCAGGGAAAAACAACAGCGACAACAAAAAAAACAAACAGGGTAGAGCTCCTTGGCTCCACACATGCATATATCAAAATGCAAAAGCCCAAGGACAGGAGAGGACGCCTCCCATTATGCACAAAAATGGATTGCCATGGCAGGCAGAGCAGCAGCAAAGACGCCTAGATCACGGAGAGCAGCGTCAGTGACAATCACTACTCAGACACAGGATAAAAAAAGAGGAGCTGCGATGGAGGCCGGGTGTTAAAACTCTTTAAAGAGGCTTTAATTAAGAGTTTTAACATGTACTCCTGACGCCAGCATGTGATTGGCTGTCATTTCTGTCCATCAGGTCAGAGGTCGCCATCTTGTACAACGACAGGTCGGTGCTTGAGAATCATCACGTGAGCGCCGCCTACAGGCTGATGGCAGAGGAGGATATGAACATCCTGATCAACCTGAACAAAGACGACTGGAGGTGATTGATTACCCTGATCAGAGAGCTCTTACTATCAGAGATATTGATTATGTATATATGTATTCATACAGTATGATGTGTGTTGTTTATCTACAGGGAGCTGAGGGCTCTGGTGATTGAGATGGTGATGTCCACAGACATGTCGTGTCACTTTCAGCAGATAAAGACGATGAGGAACGCTCTGACGCAAACACACAGGTACCTGCTGCAATAACAATCTCATACAGGTGTGTCTGAGTTTAACTTGAACACCAGAATAACAGACAATGAGAGAGTTAGTAACAGTCTGAAGTGGTTAAATGAATATTCTCTCAGACATCTTCCATGTTTTTAATGTATTAAGAGAAAAAAAACAAAGAGGAGCTGGTGTGCAAAATTTTTTCTGCCTCATATTTTGCCAAAAAAAGGTCTTGTAAATGACGCTGTGGTGCATTGTTTGTCTTTTACATCCAAGAAAATCCCGTTAAAATTAAGAAATGTAATATTAGACAGTTCAGGAGAAGTGTGTCCTGCCAGACTGTGTGTCCGTGCGATGAAGACGAGCAGATCTTCAGTGGGAGTTTGGTGAAACAGCAGACATATGTTCCTGCAGGCTGCAGAAACAGAGCGGGCTGAGAGGATACGATCCAGTCTGATCAGAGTCCAGATATTTCCTCTGTCTGTCAGACCTGCTGGACAGAAGGGGGAGGAGGGGGGTTACGCTTGGATAAATGCTGTCATCACTCTGCGCACAGGCTGGATTTGGATTCACTCGTGTTCCTGCAGCAGCAGCTGTGTTACTGCACGCTGTGACCAAAATACAGAATCACAGACTCTGCACAGCTCAGATAACACACAGGGGGGATAAAGAGGAGCTCTTTTTATTCTTTCTCACGCACCAATTACGAATTCACATTATCAGTTTGGGTGGTAAAATTTTTGGAGAGGTGTTAATCTGTCACGCTATCAACTTTATTAGTGCTGCTCCTACTTATTAAAGTTCTCTTAACACTTCCATCTGAGTGCGGTTTGATTCTGCAGTGTTATTTTATCATCTATTTACACGTTTCCTTTAAAAGCAGGGAGCTGGGGGAGTCTTGCCATGGTTATTGATCGGTGTGTACAGCAGCCTAAAGTGTTTGTGTTTGAAAGTACATACATTCATCAAAGTGACAACCCATGACTGCCAGCTCCTGTGCATCATGGGAGAAGGAAACAACCTACTTACTTTAGCCTGGAACTGAAACACCGCCAGGAACACCTCTGACATGACTTATTGGTCTGTTTTGCGCACTAATGCTCAGGGTGAAGGACATGATGAAGAAAAGCAGTGACGTGTGATTCTCTGCATACCTTTCTGATCATTTCCTGCTCTCTCTTTCTCTCTCTCTCGCTCTTCAGTATAGACAAAGTGAAGGTTTTGTCTCTGATGCTTCATGCTGCAGACATCAGTCATCCAGCTAAAGCCTGGCCACTACACTACCGCTGGACCCACAGTCTGATGGAGGAGTTCTTCAGACAGGTAACAGAGCACACAGGTTAGAGCAGGTCAGCTGCATAAGTGGATCTCATCATCTACAGGATTGTTGAACAATATATACAGGTTTAGAAGCACCATCTGCTGCCATCAAACCACATTCTGCAGGGGTTACAATAGCATGGCTCTGTAGTAGAAGAGTCCTGCTGCCGAAATGACCTGCATGCAGTCCTGACTTGTCACCCATTAAAAACCTGGGTTCCTCCTGGGTTTAAAAATATTTACTAAATGTTGGTGAAAGAAGAGCTTAAGACAGAGAATGAGAAACACAACCCCAAATTATCTTTATTCATCTCTAACAGGAATGTAAAGGTGGTTTACTGTTAACTCTGACATTCCTCCCATTTCTGTGTTTGTTCTGCACATATTTAAAAATTACTCTGTAACATCCAGAGTGCGTCTGAGTCTCATGTTGCTGTGGTGACTGTGTCTCTTTCAGGGAGATAAAGAGGTGGAGCTCGGCCTTCCTTTCTCTCCTCTCTGTGATCGTAAAGCCACCATGATCGCCCAATCACAGATTGGTAAGAAAAACCATCTGCCAATGAACTGTCAGGACCAGTACTAGGAGAAGAGTACCCATAACTAGAAGTACTGAGGTGCTCAGGATGCTCAGATACCTTAACTGAACCCTGCTGTCAGCGTTTATAACTGTGGTCGGACAGAGACACCTGCTGGTGCTTTGAAGAATTACACTTATTTGCTGAGTTTTAACAGACTGTTCATTTAAGTATTAAACAAACACTGCGGATCAGTTTTTCTGTCTTTCCTGTATTTTATTCTCCTTAATCCTCTCTCCATCTTCAGGTTTTATTGATTTTATTGTGGAGCCAACTTTCAGCGGTTTGATCGACACCACAGACAAGGTGATCGGTCCTCTGATAGAAGAGGACAGGAAGGCCAGAGAGACTGGAAACAGGAGGTCCAGGTACAGACTTTTTTACAGAAAGTGTTGGTAGAAAAAAAAAGATGCAAAAAAATTAAGTGAAGTGTGAGTTTACATCTAAAGTAATCAGATTTCGCTGATTACTAAGCAGATTAAAAGCATGCTGAAATTTTGACAAAATGATGCAGATCTGTAAATAGTCTGGTTGCAGGATTTTTCCTGTCTCTCTGAATGACAAGAGGTAAACAACTTTATATCAACTGTTTTTTGACTGGGGTTTGGTTTTACCAAATCTAATCTTTTTGAAACTCTGAGTTCACAGGATCCATTCAACCGTTTCTTGTTGTTACATTCATGAACATTTTTTTAATGCCATGTCATTAAAAAGGAATTTCATGTTTTTAGATGAAAAGTCTTAGTGTTACAAGAATATTGTCATAATGTTGGGATGCTTCAGTGAAAATGTAAAAGCTATGTTTGAAGAACAAAGTTGTAATGTTAGAAAACAATAGTCCTATCATCAAGACGCTTAAATCCTAATGTTGCAAGAAAAAAACATGTCAAAAGCCTGAAGTACCACTCTGACTTTATTCCTGAAATCAGATTTTTTAATGTGACCCTTATCTGTAGGACTAAATGAATTATGTAAATTTGCCAAGCATGCAAATTTCTGTCATTCAGGGGTGACAAACTTGAATTTGAAGTCTGAACTTATCAATCAGATTTTTTTTTTTTTGCTTCAGTCTAACAGGAAGTGGTTCGGTTACAGTGGAGTCTGTGCAGAGACACAGCAGTGGTCGCCTCGGTAACAGTGATGACGGACACATGGACTTTTCCTTGACAGCCATTGACCTGCCAGCTCTGAGGTGCCACCTATCAGGCGTCATCGCCAGCAACAAGGACAGATGGAAGGAGCTGTCTGTGCACGGTACTGACATGTGCTAATGTTACCATTAAGCGTGTAATCATGGTGTCGAGGTTTTTGTATCTTATTCTTTTTTATCTTTTTCAATGTAACTTTAAAAACTTTTCACGATAAAAACAAAAATATCCAATAATCCTGTGTGTTTCTGTTGTGCACAGAGCTAGCCAATAAGGAGCAAGAGGAACAAAAGGGTTCGGCTTCTAATGTCAACTCGCCCAATCACAGCGCCCCTGATGAGAACACAACTGACCAATCACAGAACTGCGACAGCTCCCTTCCTGAGGAAACACAGGAGGAGGAGTCAGCTGACCACGACCCTGAAGATCACCTGACCTGGAACGGTACGTTAAAATCACATGAGATTGAAATGTTTCCTCACTGTAAGGCGTATATGAAGCTGTTGCTATGGTTACCATTGCAGGGGCGGGGTCAGTGGAGGAAAAAGAAGAAGAAGTTGAAGAAGAGCCTGAAAACGCCTGAGGATGAACTTTAGCCAATTTGCCACTCTGGTTGTGGCAGGTTACTATGGCGACAGGTGGTGATGACGAGGGTTCAGACTCTCCTGTTTGGGCAGCGGCTGACTCAGCGGTCCTCAGTGGACCCTCGAAGGGCCCTCAGACCTTCTGTTTACAAACAACAATGAAAAAACATTTACACATTTAAAGAGACGTCGACCATCAGAGATCAGTCTCTGTTTACAGAGCTGAGTGTGTTTGTGATTTTATTCAAGACTCAGAGGAATTATGTCTGAAATAATATATATATATATATATATAAAGTCCGACAGGTGAAAACCGAAGGACAGGAAGGCTGAAATACTCCTCTAATTTAAAATAACTTAATATATATACGGAGGAATCAGACATGGAGCTTTTATGAAACTGTCATGGGGGTTTAATTCTGCTGTTGAGAGTGTGCGGACACTTAAATTATGACTGCTGAGCCTCTGGCCACACCCCAATATGTGATGTCATTCACCGTGTTTACATGGCAGCCATTTTTCTCCGACTTCAGGGTCATGTTAAAAGGCTGCAGCGCTGTTATTGTGTTAAGTGACCGTGTTCTCAGTTTCTAAATCATACCATATACAGCAAGTCTGATGTATTACTATCATGTACAATTCGGTACTTTATCACAATGTGTGTACATCTTAGTGTACAGAATGTAACAGTGTACCCCTGGATGCCCTTTTAGGATAGAAAGCCTGAAAAATGTTTCCTCTAGATGCCCCATGGTGTGGAAATCATGAAAAATGCCCTTTGAATGTCCTTTTAATATACTCAAAAACAGCGCCCCACACACTGAAGCTATCTCCCTCATTGCAGTGGTCACTGGCCGGAGTCTTACCTGCTCCCTCCTCCCCACATTTCCTGTCTCCCTTTAGCTGTCCAATCCAATAAAGGCAAAAATCCCCAAAAGTATTATTAAAAAAAAAAAACAGACCCACATGATGCCATCCCACTATAGATAGTAAAAACATGTCCTTTAGAGATAGAAAACACACAAACATGTCCTCTGGACCCCCTTCCAGAATACAGACCATAGTCATAGTGCCCTGAAGGTGCCTTCCTGGTATAAAGACTGAAAAGGAGTACCCTCTGGATGCCCCACAGTAAAGATATAAAGAAAGTGCCCTTTGGATTCCCTTTTGTGGAAAAGTGCCTTCTGAATGCCCTGCTGGTACAGAAACCTCAAAAAAGTGCCCACAGGATGGCGTCTCAGAATAGTTTGTCCTCTGGATGCCCTTTCACTATATAAGGTTTCCTTTATACATAGAGATACATAGAGATTGTAAGAGAGTGTTCTTTCAAACCTTTCTGAAGAAAATTGCTCTCTGGAAACTTAAGTACCCTTTAGTTTACTTTTCCAGCAAAGGAATCCCTCTGGTGCCCTTCCAGTTTATTAAATCGAAAGGTGCCCTCAGGATTCCCCTTCAGGAAAAAATACCCCCTGGATGCCCTTTGAGAGAGCTCCACAGAGACCATCCCAGTGTATGAATATTAAAAGAGTACCCTCCAGATGCCCTACCAGCCCCTCTAACCCCTGAGAGTTTACAACCTGCTGTCATGCCATCAAGTGATAAAAGTGAAGAGGTCGCAAAGTGTTTTTTATAATGATGTAACGGGAAGTCTTCATGAATGGCAGCCTTCTGTTTACTGGCTACAGGAAGTGCCCTTTTTACTTCTTCTCACCCTGAACCCCCAAATTTGATTCCTGACTCATGATCCCCACCTCCTTCTTTACTGTGACTCTGGAGGATGTTTTAGTTCCATTTCGCCTGGTCCGCTTACTGTGCGCTAACCTACTACATTAATACAGAAGTGCAGGGTTAAGTCAAAGTTTACATGCACTCACTGTGACATCACTAATGTGGGCGTGGCCAGACGTCAAACAGTTTGAGTCCACAGAGAGCAGAGTGGCAGAAATCAATCAGAGTGGATATCTTATCAATCAGAAACACACCTGAGTTTACACCTGACCGCTTTATGGGAAGTTTTTACTACAACACTGGTTGTCATGTTGTACTTTTGGCTGATGTAACCATGATTTAGCGTAACGTTATACACTCCACCATCTTTGTAGAAACTCTCTGAAAACAGTCGATCATCCATCTGAGAAGAAAAAAAACAGCATTTCAATTTTTAAAAGGGAGAGAGAGCAGCTCAGAGATCAGAGCTCCTCTTTCCGTACGTCTGACTGTTGACGAGAACTGTGCATTATCACCATGGCAACAAGGACAACAGAAACACCTGTTTCTATAGCAACAGCCACCGAGCTGGAGGGTGGAGCCAACTCTTTGGGTCTTCTGAGCACTGTGTTTGTTGATGCAGCGTGTGCTATCGTCATTGTTTGCATTTTGGCTCTGTGTGTGTGTATGTATGTGTCTGATAGAGAGAGAGCGAGAGAGAGAGAGAATGTGTGTGTGTGTGCTCTGTATATTGTACAGCTGTTTTCTGTATTATTGTATTAAACACTGAGAACTATGATTGTCCCCCTGCTTTTGTGTCCAAACTCTTTCAGTGTCCAGGACTTACTCAGTCTCAGGGCTGCATGCCTTTAGGGGCCTCGGCCGCTGTTGCCTGCAGAGACCTGTTAAGTCAAACTGAGATGGTCTAACCCTAACCACACTCATAAATCTGGAGAGGAGTGAGGGGAGAGAGGTTTGAAGCTGGAGACAGGTGAAACAGGTGACTGTAAACTGACAGAGGAGTGATGCAGTGTGCTTCATCTGCCAGTAGAGGGCAGAGTCAACAAATCAGAGCAGATTCTGGAGGGAAATACTCTCATCCTGTTACCAAAGATACAGGAAAAGGGTATAGAATAGGAAAAGTTATGATAATATATACATAGAAAGTTATTATTCATGCTTTCGAGGGAGTTTCCACCCACCCTGAGACTGACGAGGATGAGGATCAAGTCCTGAGTGCAGAGTAGGAGAAGTCACCAGCTCAGTTAACTATAAGTTGTCAGCAGCAGACTGTGAATTTCTGCCAAACTCATTAAAATGCAGTGTTTGATTTGACTGACAGTGGTTTTTTTTTTCAGCAGAGAGAGTTCAGTGTCAGCAGCTGGAGGAAAGCTTCACCTCGGCCAAATTCATTATTTCAGACTGACAGGGCTGTGATTGAAGGCTGTGAGTAAACTTTATTTTATCGACTGTTCACTTTGGCAGCTGTACACTTCATCTGACACCCTGATTGATTATATTGATCTGGTCCTGCAGCAGCTTAAAGAGGTAAGGAGAACACAACACAAGCATTATTAGTGGCCAAGAGTAACCCATGCAGGATTAACTCCGTCTGCGCTGAGATTTAGCACCAAAGCCACGTCTATTTATCTGAAATTTGGTTCAAGATATCTGACTGAGATTTTCACCTCATTCTTATACAGGCATTGCTTTGTAAATCTTCATTATATCTTTAAGTGTTAAGCTGAATTAATATGAGCACAAACATGCCAATGTGTGTGATCTTGTCTTTTTCTGGGTGCTTTCAGAGAGTAAAGAAGACCCTCTGTGTCTGTCTGTGTCTAATAAAATCACTCAGGGTCAGGTTTCCTCCCGGCTTTTCTGCTGTTCTTCACCTGTGAGCTGAATCCTAATGCTTCAAACACTCTCCACACGTCTTATAATGTTATTCACTGTGCTGTGTAAGAACAGAGTGAAGTGCTGAGCTGTAATGTGGATGTGACAGAAACTAAAAAAAATGTGTCCAAACCTTTAATCCAAAGAAAAATGAGGTTTGGAAAGCAGTTAACTGGTCTGTTTATCCAGAGAAAACACTGGATTTACTCATTATCTGATCGTTCATCACATATTTACCATCTTCCCTTCATGAAGTCCCTGCAGACACCCAGACAAACAGAGTTGTAGCAGAGCTGAGTGAGTTTGTAAATCACTTCAGATCTGATTAGCCTGTGTGGGGAGTTAAATCTTAGTGTGATGAAACTGCTTACACACCATCCATCAAATATATGGATCTGTTTGTTTCCTTTGTGCAACATCATATTCATGCTTGAAGACAAATAAACGCAAACTTATCAAGAACTTCACAGCCACGTGTTAAAAGGGACAGTTCAGAGTTTTTAGGCATGGTTGGGAAAACTTCAGACTTCACATTTGCATACCTGGCTAACTAGCCTTCCACCTGATGTGTAGCTCAGGTGCTCTGTCTGTGCAGCTGCAGCTCTGGCTTCACTTTCTATCACGAAACAAACTCATTTTAAAACATTTCCATTCAGCAGCGAACTTAACGGCAGTTTCACAATCCAATTATTCAGATCCTCTGTGTGTCAGGACCTCTTCTCACTCAGTTTATGGCATTCGTCACGCCGTCGACTCAAATAAAGAGCATACACACACTAACAGACACACACTGACAGACACTTTGTATCCGAACAGACAGACACATGAGTGGACAGTTTCTCCGAGAGTCTCTGATGATAATCTGCAGGCCAGGTCGTCTTCATTAAAGCTGCTTTTATTCATGAATCATCTGTTGTTTTCTACTTTATTGTGAGTCTCCAGCTTCAAATGAGTCGGTCCATCATGTAAAAATCAGCAGCTGACAGAAGCTGAGTAATAAAGGGCTTTCATAAATGGAAAATTGATGGCAGGATTTCAAGCAGAGAACGGTTATTGGATGACTGAGGGACTGAATCATGGTTAGAGAGATGGAGGAGAAACAGACAACATCACGACCGACTGCAGCTGCAAACAACAAACCCATAACCCTCTTTGAACTGATGTAAAAGGGGTTTTGTGTTCATACTTGTGGTTGCAAAAGATATAAAGAGTCGATCTAACACACTGTCCTCACTCAGAACCACAGCTATTCAGAAAAAAACTATGAACTTTTTATTTTAAATTATCCAAATAGATACAAGAATACAGGAAATAATTCAAATGTGGACAAACTGTTTTAAAGCTAACAATTTTAGTCAAAATTTCATCTAGCAGGCTTTATATAGAGCTTACGTCTGGGTATTCTGATGCTCCCTACTGGTGAAAATACTTTACTGATGTAGCTTGAGATTGGTCAGCATTAAAACAAGTCAAAAACATCTGTTTTTATGGCTGGATGTCCCGTCATTTTGATGACTACTACACCTAGTGTTATATTTAAATGAAACCTCTCTGCAGAAACAGACAAAAATTTAGATTTAAGACGTCAGGTGTTGGTTTATGCTAAAGGACAAATATGAAAAACATCATTTTGCATAACTTAAAGTGTCCCTGTGTTTAGATGACAAAACAGCTCTGCAGAAAAATCTTCCTGCTGCTGATATTTCAAGGGGATCACGTACTTTCTCTCTTTGTGCGCAGGCTTCTTCACAGCTCTGGAATAAATAAAAGGATCTCCTGTTGACAAAAGGCTTTTCAAACTTCACTCAGACCTTTGTGTCTCAGGGGGGGAATAAGGGAAAGAGGAAAGATGTTGGCTCTCTGGAGCTGAACGAACTGAAACAGCCTCCTTCTTTAACCAGGCTCTATATTCAGGATGTTTCTCTGTGATGGAGCGTGTTAAAGCTGACCGTCTTTCAGACCTTTTCTGTTTCCAATCCTAGAGGCAGAAAGCGAGAGTGATTTAAAGTTTAGTCAAGCTCTACAGTCCGAAGACCTTTTTCTTTAAGAGGGGGTGCTCAGTGGCTTTCACTCCTCACCGCGTCAAGTTTTGACAAAGTGAAACAGTCAGATCGAGAGAGTGTTGTGGTCAAGTCTTCAAACCTTGATTCCCAGTCTCTGCTGTTCCAGTCTGAGTTAAATCAAAATCACCAAAGAAGTTAATCTGTTAAGGAATAAATTAAAAAGTAAGGTTTCCTGTCCTTTATTAAAATTCAGCTGGAAAGGAAAGACTGATAATTTGGACATGTTTTTCCCAAAGTGACTTTTACCTGCCCTTCACAGAAAATCCAGTGATTGTTATGAGTCCTGATGAGTGTTCAGCTTTGACACAGAGATATAAGGCGTCCTGCTCTCAATGTCACACTTTAAATTCATAATTGTGCAGCCTCAGCCTCTTCACAAAGGTTCAACACTTTACTTTTATCTGTGTCACGCCTTAAAGCTTGATTTCCTTTTAGTTCTGCTAGTTCCCCTGTCTTTAGACCATTTATCAGTGTTTTTAAAAACCCGTCCTCATCCTTATCTGTGACTCTCAGATGGCTGCGTCCATAATGAATATTTTTGATATGATACTGAGAGCTGAGAGTGTTTTTAAAAGCAGAGATATCTTTAAAGGCACAGGACCTCCACTTCATGCTTTACAAGGAGCGGCACAGAGAGAGTGTCTCAACCTTTAAGTAACATGGTATTATAATCACATTATCAGTGTGAGGCTGTAATTTTACACCTGCAGAGATGAATGCGAACATAGACGTCTGATGAGGCTGACCTTTGAGAGAAAATCCATCATGGTGGAAAATATCAACACTATTTAAAATTTATAGCCTCTGCAGACGAGCAGAGCAACAGGATGACTCAGCCAAACCAACACCTCAGACATTTAAAATCTAAAACAAAGTTATGTTTCCTTAAACTAATGATATTAACATTAAGACAACAGAGACACAAAGCTGTAACGTTATGCTAACAAGTTGAACACATCAAACAAACTTTTAAACTGCTCTCCCTGCCTTCACTTTTCATTTGTCCCCATTAAAACAGAGCTTGGGGGGTCTTTGCTGATACTCTGCCTGCCTCCACCCATCTCCCCCTTTTTACGCTCTGTCTGATTTTAGCAGTGTCATATGGATTGTCACTGATGCTAACCATGTGGAAGGGAAAGGAGCTCAGGCAGCTTATGCTAATGGCAATTGTTTATGTATTGCCATAACCCAAGATAAGAAGAACTTAATTGATCGCCGAAGAGAAATTCAATAAGATGGTGAGAAAAAGATGGTGCGCTACCTATTTAAATTGATGTCTGCTTTGTACTGTTGGGCTTAAATCCGTGTTTACAAGGAAAACTAGCTTTACTTCATCATTTTATACCAGTGTGGGGTAAATTAATGTATCATACTTGATAGTTTTTAATTCACCACTTGGCACAAAGTTTAACTTAGTTAAGAGGACTCTATATGCATGCATACAATGTTCTTCTATGACATTTTTTATTTCAATTTGTCACCACCTACTGGCCTAGCATGCTTATGGAAGTGTTTTTTAACTGCCTCTGTGTTGAACATTATGTGTCGTATAATATTGTTGAACTTTTTCTTTCTTCTCTTCTGTCTTTAGATATCCATACAGCTGTAGATGTAGCCTCAAAGCCTGCCATGTCCATGTGAACAGATGGGACATGGGTCATACTAGACACATCAACAAATGTTTCTAAAATATGGTTTCTGTCACTATAGTTTGTTGGTTTATGTCCAGGTGTGACTGTAACCAGCTTTAGGGTCACTGAGGTCTGCAAAAATTGGTACAAATCGATGTCTACCGGGATGGATTTTACTTTGAAGAGACAGTTAGAGGCGAGCTGTAGAGTCATA